TAAAAACACGTATGTAATCTGTTCTTTTCATACGATTTTCCAACACATTTTGATCAGCGTGTTTACTAAGAACGTTAATTAATATTTTGTTTGCGCTGATAAAATAAAAATTGCTCTGATCTCATTTTTGGGAGTCAATCCTGGAATTTGAATTAAATGGTGACAATTATCAAAACCAGATTGTGTAAAATTAAGGTGTAAATAAAGTGTTGTCCATATTTTATTTTGTATCAATGTTAAGTGGTCTTTTCGCCCTCTTTTGAGAGGTTTATTTTACTGCCCTGGAGCTAGCCAGGTCAATTTTTCTTGCTGTACTGAATTATAGAAAAAAAAACTTACGTAAGAACATTACAATCAAAATGTGGTCGGGAGGATGCGACCACCCCAATCCAACGTGAAGATTATACGGAAGAGTGCATTGCTTGCTTGAAGAGGCTGTAAAGGTCAACAGACACATCACAAAGGACGAGATTCAAAAGAAACCTATGTTCAAATGTCAAGCGCCTATCCGCCGCCGTTTCGACTGCAAAAATTCCGTTTTTTCTGTTTCCGTGGAATTTCGGGAAATGTTTTACTAAATCGCGGGCATACGGTCCAACATTCCCCAATGTTTCATTGTAATTAGGTAAACGGTTTAGGAAGACATACAGACAGCCAAAGTATACACTGTGTTCAAGATAAGAATCATGGGGACCTCCGAAACCAAAGAAGCAGAAGGTACGACGATGGTCAAAACAGAGAAAAGATGCAAAGAGGAATTATCATGCTGTAAAGAAAAACCGTAAATTCCGTACGTCCGAAGATATTCCCGAAAACCCGAAATTTGCCGATTTTGTATTTTTTTCTTTGTTATATAGACCTGACACAAAAAAAATACTTCCTCATCGCCACTTTTTGGGCTCCACAAGACAGCGTTAAGAGATTTTCAATACAACGTTTCGTTTCGGAGAAATCATCATCAACTCTATTTTTTTATTAAGGTTCGTAAAAAAAAGTAGCCTACGGACTGCATTGAGTAGTATTTTTATTATTAATTAGCAATGTCCGTCCTACACCACAAAAAATCAAAAGTTAGAGTTGGTTGTCGAACAGGATGGTACACCTTGCGCAAAACGCCCTATGGCTAAAGCAGACAAATTCAGCGACTGACGCCCAATCAGTCTACTGCCCGTACTGTCAAAAGTTTTCGAAAAGGTAGTGGACGGCCAACTACGTTGTTACTTGACCCAGAATAACATTCTCCCTGACAATCAATCAGGGTTTCGGCCTGGTTATAGCTGCACCACTGCACTACTAAATGTTACGGATGATTTACTGAAAGCTAACGATGAGAACAAGATGTCCATATTGCTACTCTTGGATTTCAGTAGAGCATTCGATACAATTAATCACCAAACTGCAATTTCCATCTTACGTGCTACAGGTCTTTCTCCTAATGCTACCTCATTACTTCATAGCTACCTAACGGGCAGGTCACAGTGCGTTACTTTAATGGGTAAGTCATCTGGGTACAGGGAACTATCTAGGGGTGTGCCGCAAGGGTATATTCTTGGCCCCTTATTGTTCACTATATATACTTTGTTTTATACATCAGTTCCTAAGACGTGTCTAGTTCACATGTATGCAGACGACATGCAGTTGTACCACTCCTTTAAAAGTGAACATTTACACGAAGCGCTAAATCTGATTCAAAGTGACCTTAAGGCTATTGAAAGGGCTTCATTGGAGCACTCGCTGGTTCTCAATCCTCTAAAATCGGCAGTCATGTTGTTTGGTAACAAGCAGAAAGTCACCGACTTGAAACATTTGGTAAAATTCAGAATTGGCGACAAAGCTGTTGCACTAAAGGAGGAAGCAAAAAATTTAGGAATAATGATAGACAATTCGTTTAGATACAACAAATTACTCACTAGCTACATCCAAAGAGCATATGCAAATTTAAAATGTATCTTTCCCCATAGGCAGTACTTGTCCCAAACTTTAAAAGCTCAACTCTGTAACGCGCTGGTACTAAGCCACTTTAATTACTGTTCGCAAGTCTACGGTCCGTGCATCACTCAGGATATGTCTGCAAGAATACAGCGAGTACAAAACTCCTGTATTAGACTAGTATTTGGTCTTAGGAAGTTTGATCGAGTATCTTCCAAATTAAAAGAATTACGCTGGTTCAGCATGAGGGATAGGCGACTGCTTACTGCGGCGTGTCTGTATGTATCATAAAATTATCTGGAACAAATCTCCTCCATATTTATACCGCAAAATATCTTTTAGAACCGATGTTCACAACTTAAATTTACGGTTTAGAGGTGGGATTACTCCACCCTCTCATCACACCGAAATGTACAAGAGATCTTTTAGTTATAATATTTTTAAAGTATATTCCTCTGTTCCAGATTTGATTAAGCCCCTTTCTCCGCAGTATTTCAAAATTAAATTGCGTCAAATATTAGCCCATGACTCTGTACGTACGTTGTAGATTGTCATTCATATCTATCTTGTTTAACTTGTCTCTCGTCTCTTTGTCCGCTTTTCTTAGTATATTACTCAATCTCTTTTCATCTCACTCTCATTTAGTTACTCCTATGTGCATTTATTACTATTTCATATTTTCCTTTTTATTATATTACTCAGTTATAAGCATTACTTGATTATGTTAATTCTAATTGTATTCAGGGAGTCGGTGGAAGATCAGAACCTGCCTGTGCAGCAACTGAACCGATAACCCCTGTGGTTTCCATTTTTTTAATTTGGTGGAAATAAACACATTATTATTATTATTATTATTATTATGGTGCGAGAATACCTATCGAACACATTTTCTCTCGCATTTTTTATTTTCTAGCAAATACCGAGAGCAAGAGTACCTATCTCGGTACCTATAGTATTATATTAGAGTTTAGTATTAACCTCGGTATTAACTAGTAGTTAAAATTTAAAGATAAAATAATTTTTTTATGAATTTGTTTCATATGTGAGGGGAGGGGGTCGTTTTTTTTAAATTTGTAAAAAAAGGTTTTGATTTTTAAGAAAAAAGGTATTTAAATAGAATTTAGAAAAAATAAACACAATATTTTAAAAACAAGTGAGATATCCACTAATTGGTCCATTTTTATTAAATTTCCACATTCCTATTTGAGATCGACCAAATGTGGCAACCGCGCAATTAAAAAAATATGGCAGTTATTGTTTAAAATATCGGATTAAACCGAGAATGAAACTAACAATATGTAAAATAAAAATTCCTGAAACAACATGAATAGGTTATTACGAGGTTACTTAATACCGCGCTTAATACTTACCAAAAGGTACCAGTTTCGAAAATTCTGTCCATTTTTGAAGCTCTATATCTTGGTAGGTACATATCAAAAAAAGATTGAAAATTGAGTCGTTGAAAGATAGGTACCTTTATATAATTCAACGATTGAGTTAGTGAATTATTTACTATTTAACAGGACACTAGGTACATAATATACACAGAGATACACGATAGACAAAAGCGATAACAACAGCTTTCTTTGCATGTAAGGCATTTGTTACGAATTTCTGTAAATTTACCTCTTGTTTTAGCCATGCATTTTGCAGCTTTCATTTGATCAGTAGGATTTTGAAGATCTTGTCCGGTTCCCAGACGACCATTGCAAGCTGAGGATGGGGGGTTTAAAAAAAGCTGTCGTCTGTCATCACTTCACTAACTGACATTATAGTTTATTAAAGAAATCGTCGACTTAGACAAATCATTCTTTTTCCAAACCTGAGCTTAAATTTTACATGAAAATGCTAGGCAAAGGTTGAAAGGAGGGCTGGAGTTAAGTAACCAGAAAAGTGAAGTGCAATCAGAGGCGACTAGAATGAGAGGCCTTTATGTGCTCGAATTTCCTTGGTGTCTCTTGTGTACGATCCGCCTAGCAGACCACTAATCGACTTTAGCTTTAGTTGCTGTCGAGCCGCCTTTGCAAGTTCAAGTCAAGTACGATTCCCCATGTAAACAAAAATTCCAAAGGTGACTCGATAGCAATTTATTTTTGATCGCATGTACTTACTCTAGTGGAGCGAGTTGTTTCAATTATTTTTATGCGCTGACAACTTTCACATAGCGTGGTTTAATCAATTTTGTAATTGTTCACGACACTTAAGATTATTACTGCTTACCTATAGCGTCACAATTTCAAAGAAAACTCGGGCTTGCTTTCTATCTCCCTGTTTTAATACAGTTTCGATATCAGATATGCACACTGCGTGAAGGTTAACCAATAATTGTATTTATGTTATTTGCGAAATTATTTGCTTAAAGGTAAACTGTTAATTGTAATTATACCAATTAATAATCAATGTAAATAGTTTTACTAATAGAAGTGCTATACACAAATAGCAACACTAATTACACTTAGATAAGAAATCATTATTGATGGTGTTCCGCAAGAATCTACTTTAGGACCTATTTTGTTCCTGAATTTACTACGCCACTAGACTAGATTTTTCAGGAAGCATGTACAACTGATACACCTTGAGCGTTATACATAAAAATCCCATTATTTGTGCTCGATTTAACTCGTGTAATTTACACTACGTTTAACAAACATAAAAAGTTACAAGGTTGTTAAATGATACTCCGCTCATATGTGATTTATGTACTCTTTTGGTCACAAGTTTTCTTGAAGTTGGCCATTAATTTTATTTGAATCAGAGAAAAAAAGACACTGCATCCTCATCATTCAATTTGACGGGGGTCACGACAAGGTTGCAGTCAAGGTTTTGTCGGCAACACAAAAACAAAACCTCATTATCATCCGAAATCAACCTATAATGTAGGTAGGAAATTTGAAAAGTAATTAAGCGCCGCCGCCGCTGACTGCGCATTTATCAAAACAAGTGGCGCGGCGTAAAAAATTGGGCAGTAAATGGAAAAATGCTCCAAATCAAAACAAAAAAAAAAAGGTTTCATTCATCATACTCATACGAGCAGGACTGCATGTATAGGAGGAATTTATAGCGGGACTCACCCGGTTGCATTCCAAAGCTTCGGCCGAGTGCTCCTCTTTCTGTCGAAAGCAGTTTGAGCATTTCGATTTGTTGAAGATGTTAGGTGCAAATTTTCTACATTGGGACATGTTACACGCACGAGAAACACACCACACACATGTCAACCATCTTCTTTGACTGCTTTACATGCGAAGTAATGGGATGATGGACGCGAAGTCATCGCGATTACATTTCGCTCGCACTTTTAAAATATACACATTAACACCTGTTTCAATTGATATTAAAGGCTTAAAACACCGAAAGTTCCCTTCGATGCACAAGCACCTACTACAAACGCAACGTCAACAACACTAAATTCAAAATACGAGTGCTGGGGGAGTAAATGACACACTGCGATGGTAGTAAGACAATGAGCGCCATCTATCAATCCACGCACTACTTACGGTTGCACTTGTGCAGCTGTTTATTCATCAGGCAACACACAATGCACATTGCTGTAGCCCATTATTTATTATTGATAGCTCAGTTCCAGTTATCTTATTATCCCTAAGGACCCTAAGGTCCCAACCAAAACGTGAACAGAATACATTTAAAATAAGGATCGCTTCCCTAAAGTCTAATCAAAACTGAAAACTTACCAAAAGATCGTCACGAATGTGTCTTTGGCACTTAGAATAGGTACTAAAAAAGCCCCTTATATTATATTCAGTGGCGTAGCGTAACTCGTTTTAGGGTCCGATCAGGGTTTGCCACCCTATCCTATATTCTAGGAGCTGGTGAACATTTTGAATTGTTTATTAACAAAAAAAAAAAAAAAGAGTTCAAATTTTTTGTTCTATTCTGGATTTGAGTACGTTCAGATCGTTTCTTAGTGAATTTAAAAATTAACCCCTGGCATTTCGAACAAAAATGTGATTTAAATGTATCGCATAGTAGACTATGTAAAACTTTTTAGCGTATTTTTTTTCAAAAATGATATTTTATATTCGATATAGCTGTGGCTGTCTGCCTGGTTGACTGGCTGGCTGGCTGTGCGGATGATATTTCAGCAACTACATATATACATACCTATACCTAAGGCAAGTAAATTTACGTGACCACGAGCAGTTCAAGCTTACAGTTTCACAAGAAAAAAATAAAGTGATTGTAATAATACTCTAAACTCATCCTCCAATCCAATAAACCAGTACAAGACAAGCAGAAACTCTACCTTTTTGTTTTTAAATGTTATATTTATCAAAGCAGACGAAATTCCTAGGAGTGGCACTCTCCCCCAAAATTGTTCCACAGGACCACAGGGGGTCGTGCCCTGGAGCAGTAGCGCCTATTATACTTTCCACAATAAAATATATTTGTGTTTATCAGCTCAAACTTTTCACAGGGAAACCAGAAATTTTAAAGGGTTAGGTATCGATTTCAAGTGACAGAGGAAATATTCGGAAGTATTTTTGGTCAAAGACCCGCGCCATAATTGCAATTTTTCAAATTTCGTTCTATTTTCCATTGCTATGCGATCAAAAATGAGTTACTGTCGAGTCACCTTTGGAATGTTTGTTTACATGGGAAATCATACTTAACTTGAACTCCCAAAGGCGACTCAACATCAACTTATTTTTGATCGCCCGTTATAACTTTATAAGTGTAGTGCGCGGTTTATATAAATGCATGCTAAACTATTAAATTAAGCGTTTGTGAGCATTATCATTATTCAAATAGTATTATATTGTTTAATATGTATTAAAGATACAGTCTGATATAGATACGTTATTACTTATTTAGTTTCCATAGCAACAAATGTATTGGTATAAGAGGTTATCCGTTAGATAACTTTAACAGACACTGGCCCTAAATAAATCAATATAAACAAATTCAAAATTCAAGCAGGCTTCAGGCAAATTCTGTATGTTGTACAGACCTTGGATTTAGGTACTTATTATTCCTATTTCGATCACGTTATCTTTTTTAACGCCCTGTATAGGAAAAAACAAAAGTGATCCATTGTTGCCAACATAATAACGTCAACAGACCCCATAAAAAATTTGGAATGGTACACAAAAAATAGTTCAAATAAACTCCTTATATAAGGGAAAGGAGCACGTCCGAACGTCCCTTCGTTTAGATTTTTGATTCTAACACTTTTTAAATGAAAATTTCTTGCCTTTGTGTTATAAAATGAATGAAAACTGAAATTAGAACATTCTAAATCGACGTCAAAGTGTAATCATTGTGCAGGTTATATTTTGAAACTACTACATTTTTAAATTAATAACATGGATGCAGGAGGTGACAGGTGGCTTAAACTCGATGATTTGCAACTTAAAGTGATGTCGCAAGTTTCAGGCCTTTGTATTCATCTAACGTGGCTGTGATACGGGAGATTTACGATAGCGAATACGCTCCTCAAACCTTTGCTTTGGAATTGGAACGCGCTTTGGATGCCGAATGTTCAATTATTGTGATCGAACCTACACAGTTAGGTGAAGAGACGGCCCGTTGGATTTATATGGGAAACTGTTTACATAAAACTGCAGTTGTTTCCGGCTTAGGAGCAATTCTTACAGGTGAACCTCTGTTAAAGTCTATCATTTTTGATTTTTTTCTGTAGGACTAATATGGTCAGATAAACCTATTGTGTGTGTTCCATTTGGTGTCGTTTCCCTATTATGTACAGGATTTTACACGATATCTTGGCAGTTTGACAACTGTGTTAAATATCAGGTACGTAGAGTTAGTGCATAATTGTGGTCTTTACTTATGGAATCTATAGGAGGAACGTGATCCAAAAAGACTTTCTAAACTGCAGGTAGTAACTGCAATGTCGGCAGCTTTACCAGTAGTATTAGTACGAAAAGATGATACGAGAAGGAAAATAGTACATTGCACAGTGTCATTAGCCGCCGCTGCGTTTTGCGCTTATAAATTATACGATACCCTAAAGTAATAGCTCAATAGCGTTCTTCCAAAACATCTTTTTAGTAGCTGCAATGACGGTTTAAAAAATGCATTTATTTATAGATTTTTCAGCAAAAACACGTAGGTGGTTTTACAGAACTAACAAATTGTAGTGAACAGAAATGTGTTGCAACATTGTTACTGTAAATAGATCGAGTTACATGAATAAAAAACATTAATTTTCAATTAAAAACTGTTTATTGAATGTAATTAAGAATCTTTGTTCTTAACACGATGTTGCATTATTAGAAAATATAAGCTAGGAAAATTACACCTAATCAATACAACTGCACGATGTAGCAAAGGCGCAATAACAATTTCGTTTTTCTCTTTCAATATTGCGACTGCAGTTTTTTGCGCGACATAATCTGGAGAATACCCCTGGTCTGTATTGGTATCAACTTTGCCATGTTTGAAACCACTTCCAGTTAGCGCATTTAGGGAGATTGCCGTTTTCACATATCCTGGACTAACTACACTAACATTAATGTTATCTTGTGCAATTTCTGCACGCAAAGAATCACTAAACGCTTGTATTGCGTGTTTAGAAGCTGCGTAAGCGGCTCTGTGAGGTATAGCAATTAAACCTTGCACAGAACTCATAAAAACAATGTGACCCTCTCTCCTATTAACCATGTGTGGAAGTACAGCTGCAAAATGCACAGTAAATAGTGAGACAAAGTGAAAGATCAGACACCTTTAGTTAAGGCTACCGTTCCAAAATAGTTCACCATCATTATATTCATGAACACTTCATTCGATGTCTCAATAACGGCACCCCTATTGGAAACACCTCCATTATTGATCAAAATATCAATGTGACCTGTAATGTCAATAATTTGTTCCACAATTGCCTCAAGTGATCCAATATTTGTCAAATCCATCGTCATAATTATGGGTAAAACTGTAAGTGGAGGATACTTTCGTACAAGATCATTGTGTACCCTTTCTAACTCGTCACGTCTTCGAGCACACAATACAACTTTACATCCCCGTTTGTAAAATTCGTGAGCTAATGATTCCCCAATTCCCGAGCTCGCACCTGTTATGAGAACAACCTAAAAGGTCAAAGTGAACATTTCTGCGAAATATTGAGAGGAATGTTGCCTTTTCTTTAAAGTAGGATTTATTTCTTCTGAAAAACAAATATTTGAACACTTTATAAAGAGTTACGGTCATTGCAAAGGAGCTCAGCCAAGTACGCCACGAATTTGCCATTTTTCTCGTATTAGTCACGAGATTCTGTAATTAATTCAATTAAAAAAATTCGTACAAACTTGGATCATCTGTGTTTGACAACAGTCATACATAACCTTCGAGTTAGATTAGAACTGATGTGAAGATTGCCGTGTGTCATTGTGCAATCTTCATCAATTAAATAGACGAGGTTGCCACGTTTAAGTTTGCATACTTCAAATCAGGATTTTAATGGCCGTTTGTGACGACAAAGTTAAGCTGAGCTTAGTTTAAAATCCATGGCAACCATTGTCGCAATAATCGCTGTCATGGATTTTAAACTCACTTAAAATTTGTCGGCAATAGGTGAGAAAATGTTACGAATATTCTAAGAGACCAACTGGTGACGTTATCAACGTTTTGGGATAGTACCACGAACCTCTTAAAAAACTTCGTGGATAGTACATATAGCGATAGTGAGGTGACCCTCTTATCTCCAACGCACTGTGTACAATGATTTGAAGTGTTTATGTATGCCAGCTTAATAGTGGCAACGTCGAATTAGTTCAAGGTCACACAGTTAGCTACAGATGCTGTTGCTATCTTCACAGTTGTATGCGGTAGCAATGTTCACAGCAGTTAGATAGATTTGAGAAGAGCTAATTGAATGTACCTACATTGTAAATATCAGTTACAATTGTCAAATACAAATAGTTTGATTCTTTGATTGGACCAAAGACTACGAATTAACTTTGTACAATGGTGAAGTTATATTCCATGAGTGTCTTGTATAAAACCGGACCCGATAGTGCAGTATGCTTAAAGGCAGCATATGATGTGCAAAGCTTTAACTTTTTTCAACGAGGATCAATACAGGAGTTTATGGCATTTGTAAGTAAAACGATCACGGAGAGAACACATGTAGCTGCACGGCAGTCTGTAAAACAGGAAGGTAAATAATAATGATATCTCAAACATTGTCAAACAAAAGATCGTTTTGTAGATTACATGTGCCATGTCTACGTAAGGGGCGACAGTCTAGCAGGTGTTGTTATATCAGACGAAGATTATCCTCCACGTGTTTCACATACATTAATCACAAAGGTGCTTGACGAATTCACGCAGACCGTTCCCGCATCTAGCTGGTCGACGATATCAGAACGTGACATTAATTTTCCACAACTAAATGCATACCTGGCGAAATATCAGAATCCGCGAGAGGCGGATGCTATGACTAAAATTCAAACAGACTTAGACGAGACCAAAATCATTTTAGTAAGTCGTCCATTTCAGTAACTATCGCTCACTTTCCCTATTTTAGCATAACACGATCGAGGCGGTTCTAGAAAGAGGTGAAAAATTAGATGATCTTGTAGCCAAATCTGAAGGCCTAAGCATTCAGTCGAAAGCATTTTATAAAACGGCACGTAAAACGAACAGCTGCTGCAATTTTAGTTAATCGGCCACATTCCACATTGTCAATGTGAACAATAAATGTTTAAACAAGTAATTATGCTGACTGGATGTATAAAATTCTTTGTAATATACTGTGTATTTTATTGTAATATTGGATGTTAAAATATTTAATATTTATTTTGCGGTTAATGCTATAATCCTCAGTATACAGGGTTCATATTAAGACAGTTTATACTATAAGTTTTTAGTGCAGACAGATATTAATACTGCTTTCTAATTATTGTTATTGCATTTTATGTAAAAAAATATATGAAGTATATCATACAGTATTGCAAATTTAAATTTGAGAGAATTGAATTTAATTACATTTGGAGTCGCTGGGAGGGCAGCACTAAACGACTTATGTTTTTTTAAAAGAAAAACTCCCAACGCTGTTACTTGTAGGTGGAGGCAGAATGAATATTATTACTTAAATTCCTAATGTAGGCGTTATTGCTTTCTCTCTGACAAGTTTTCTTGTCAATGGTACCCTTCCCCCTAGCACAATAGACACATGGTACCCGCCTCTCACGGGATCAGAGCATGTTGCAGTGGTATTCATTGAATAATAGCTATGTTCAGTAAAATTGACTGGTCAGTATGGAGTCTGTGAGCGTTGCTCCAAGAAGCAGTCAAGTCTCTTACTATATTAGCATCCAAGATCCAGTTGACTCTACACCTATCGACGCCGTCAACTTAATCGACCTGCAGGTTGAATCGACCATCAGGTACCGCTTTCAGCTGCCCCCGCAGACGTTATGCACAGTGCCGCCGCCAGGGCCTACAGGTAGTGTTGCTCTGCAAACCCTTGAAAAAATGACTGATTAATTACTCCCATAAGCAGATGCGAATTGCACAGTGAATGCGGTCTGGGGATCGTTTCATTTTTTTCCCATTCTCAAAATGTTCAATTGAATTCACTTGCTTTGGTAATATACATTGATATTCATGTAGTGTAGAAGTAGACAGGGATTTCCTATGTCATGATGTTTTGGAATAAAACATAACAAATTCCAAACCCTAACAGGTTGTTGCGGCTGTTGCATTGAATGCAATTGGCATACCCTTTTATTATTCCCCAAAAATAAACAAAACGGTTGTAATAAAATAATCTTTATCATTAACTATGATCATTTAATTTTACAATAACAATTTAAAAACTGTGATTACAGCTTACAACAAAATTTTACATAATTGGGTTGTACAATGAACAATATTAAAATAAAAAAAATAGTTACCTGCTATGGTTTAAGAAATAATCTACAGTGGAAAATGGATCAGTCAAAATATTTCATACCGATTGGAGTACAAGACAATTTAGATAATTGCTTGACTAAATACCACAAAACCAACAAATTTGAAACAATTTCCCCATGGACCAGCTAGAATTATACCTTTGAAAGGTACTAAGCTGCTTCTATACATCTCAATCACACGGTTACAGACAATGCAATGAAAATGGTATGAAAAATATAACATGTTAGATAAGGATATTTAAGAGTTTATTATACATTTTGATGAGAAGCGCCCCTGTCCACAAAGTTTTATTATTTAGAGGGCAGATTCAATTGATTGCATATATTGCTCTCATTTCAAATATGGAAATCTGACTCGGGGATTGAACTTTTGGGGTTTCTAAATTGGATCGAAGTGAAATGTTTACCTTTAATCAATCATTTCGGGTTGAATTAATTTTCAGGAGAAATCGATTATCTCTTCCTGAAAAGTACCATACAGTTGCTTTTGAGGAAAGATCAACAAATGGTTCTCCATACCCCCCCACCCCATCCCGGTACTCCACAAAACATTGATCTCTTGGAACTCTTGTGTATGGAATATTTTCCAAGAAATGATAATTTCAAGGCACTCTAGAAAATAATGATAAGCATACTATTTGTACATATTGTGGGAGAGAACATAGCAAAGGAGGTTGTGCAATACCCCTTAGTACAGGACAAATCGATTACCGCTTCCTGAAACTGACCATGACAAATGCTTTTCAGAAGGCTCCCTTTCTCTGCAAGGTATTACATGCCCCCCAGACTCCCTAGGGCGTTCTCCATCAAACGCTCAGGCCCTAGAATTTTTGTGTAAGGAGTACCTTCTAGAAAAGGAAAATTCAATTTTCCAATTCCGTGCGTTCATGTGATACGCGTATGAAGAAAATCGGCCTGTGATTTGAAAATGTAGCAAAATATGATTCTTTGCTTTCATATATTCACAAAATCATTAAAAGAATTTAAACGTGGCCCGCGTAAAAATAAGTTAATTATAAAGGATGATGCGTGACTGACAAGCTTATGCTTATGCCATGCATTTACCATTTTGCTTTAAAATCAATAAAATATTAGGGGTGTCAATAATGTTTTGCAAATTCAATAATATCGAGCAATTTAAAAAATTGTCATAGTTGGCAATGAAGTTTAATTGTAAACTTACCATGCATTTACTGTAATTAATAATAAATAATTTAATAATTCATAACTCGAAATAAATTGACAGGTCCATTTGACAAGCTCTATTGAGATTTGTTTACGATAAACACGTTATCACCACCAACTATGACGCAAATTTTTTGAATTGCTCTTTACAATTTCTGTAAATGTAAAAAAATCCAATCGTCTTGATGTTTTGTATATTGATACAAAAAAAACCTACTAATTCAATATTTTGACAACAGTGCATGGTATTTTCAATGGAGCTGCAGTTGGTTAGTTAAAGGGGGGAGACGGCTCACAATATTCCCTAGCAAGAAAAATACATGCACAAATATATACTCGTAGTTATTAAAACAAATGAAACAGCCTAAAAGTGTATATTATAGTAAATTATAATGATTTAAAACCACGATCGAGTGTATTTTAGAGAGATTAATAATAGAAAGTAAATTTTGCGACCACTATATAATTTACGCTTTTTTTTATCGCTGATAAAAAGCTACCTAGCTTTCAATCAGATGAAAAATCATCTGATTGGTTAGAATTAGAAACAATCACCATACTGATTGGTCGTATATTAATGGAGTGTATCAATCGACAATAATTCGACTACTCATGGTATTATATATGACTATTTGCAAACGTCAAAATTTTACCGCGGTTAAAAATGTGTCAAACTTTGATGCATAATTTAATCTCTCTAGGAAATAATCATGCAGAGTATCTCGCGCGCTTAAAAACAAGCCTCAATTTGTTACGTCGCAAATTGACTCCACTTAATGTCAAAATTTAATCAGGCTGTTTTTATGCACTTGAGATATTACATTTGATAAATCAGTGGAATACAAATAATAGTATCAGCATTATGTTTGAAATAATGATAAGATAAACAGATAATAATTAACTGTTTTAAAATATATCAAAAATATGTTAAATCTCTTGACAGGTAGGTATAAAAGAGTGTGGAGGCAGCGTCATAGACTAGTATCTACCTACTATCATCATGTATTTTAAACTTATATTGGCTTCTACTGCTCTCATGTGTGTAGGTGTTGTCTCAGGTATGTAACGACACGTTTATACAAGGGTCTCTAAATTGGAACCCCCATACTTTAAAATAGTACTATAGCGCCATCAGGTTTTTTTAATAATTAACTCCTATTGTACCTAAGTCGGAATCTACCCATGAACGTCATCGATTATAATCAGTTTAAAATTAAAAATTCAGTTGAGCAATTTAAATTGTTCTCTAGTGGAGGTTCCTATAACAGGATCTATTTGCCATTGCAGCCGAAACTGAAGAGGAATTTTCATAATCATCAGTTTTAGGGTATATCTGCAACAAGTGAAAGACTAAACTTGAATTACGTGAAGTCAAGACCATCACACACTCTCTCTTTTTCTACCCATCTTTGGCTTTGTAACGTGAGACTGTAGCAGTTAGTCCTGGCTTGGGAAAGTTTTGACATTGAGAATATGCCTGTTTATTATATTTTCTTGAGTGTTGAGAAAGCCTTATGAACCCCAGAATTCATATGGTCGATAATTTTAAATTATAATTAAATTGAAGTCTTCAATTCTTTGTCACATTTTTTACATTAAGTGGAATTCCACCAATCTTTATGTTAATAGAGGATATAATTTTTATCCTGAAATGATCCCCCTTTCGATAAGTATTAGTACAGGAGATTTATTTTGACGTGTATACATAATGTAGTTTGTGCTCCAACGCATTATTAATAGTAGGGGAGCTAATAAATGTAACTTACCTGCTTAGTACAATTAGAGAAACAATTTAAAAAAGAAACACCGTCCTAGTCATGCAGTACCTATCATTAGTTTGTAAAAAAAAATCAGCTTCATTCATCCAACCGTAATCTAGTTAAGTATATCGGTAGAAAGTTTGTGAAAAACCGACCAAGAATTGTTTTTTATGGAGTTATGAAATGTTCGCGATTTTTTAGGAGCTATTATCAACGTTCATTTGGTGTCTTATTTTAAAAAAAAAAAACATTTAGAATGGTACCGCAAGAAGTAGAAAGATAGGCGAAAGTGGAACTCCATCAGTGAAAATTTTGATCACTCTCGTTTAGTGGATTTTGAGTTAGCTCCCCTGCTATAACTACCATAGATATCTCAGTATTTAGTAATTCTGTCACTGCATGCACTTGGTTAGGTTGAAGGAATTATCAATTTGAGGGTCATTGGTGTAAAAATGATATCTACGTACATTAAATTAGACCTTTACCAGCATAACGTATGAGTGATCCTAAGATCGATCCATATGGGACACCATGGGTGATATTCCGTTGATCAAAGTCGCAATGAACAAAGAGTAGTCTTAAACACCGATAGTTAATAGTAATCAAATACTTCGAAATACTTTATAAAAATCTAGCACAGCATCACCATGATTGTCACCAGACCTAAATCGGTTGTTATATACATGGTGCTTTGTTACATAACAAAATTTTTACAAAACAATAATAAATCACTTGAGTTGTGATATGGACCGATTAAGATTCGAATTCGTAATTAAAAATTGAGATAGCTTTATTCTTGGAGATTACAGAGATTCTTTATATTTTACAGAGAATGCTCGCAAACCTGTTTTTTAAGATGAATCGTTTTGTGTCCTCAGGTATTGATGACATATTATGTATTAATGTTGATTACGCACGAATGCTCTGAAAAACGATTATACGTATAAGGTCGATTCCAACACAGACAAAGATATTGTCAGTTCCCAGAAGAAAGTGTTAAAAAATCTAGATTTTGTCAAAATTTGGACAACATGAGACATCGACAACTTTCTGACATTTTCAATTTTTAAATCACATTCCATATACAGACGGATGGTGTTAGACACTAGTCTAAGTACTCAAGTTTTGTTTAATGCTACCTCTGTGTCCAATGTGTCAATTTTGTTAGGGAAATGAGACAACGCACATACCAGTCGAGGAAGAACTAATAATGTTCTAGCATAATGGTCTTGAACATTATTTTGAAAGAGTCACTACGCAAAAAAGTGATTTTCATTATCCAATTTGTTAAAAAAACTTCACTCTTTGTTTTGCGAAAGTATTTGTATTTTGTAGCTATGGTAACATGCTTTTTTAAATATGTCAAATACCCGCATATATTTTTATTTTAAATTTGATTTCCTTAAATGTATCGAATTGTAGGTTCTGCTACCCTTGATTGCCATTATTGCTATGCAACAACTGAGGAGTCCCCTAAAGCATATGAGAAGTGTCTTGGCTATCAACACCATGGTGGGGAAGTTAGGAATTGTGGTGGAAGTTGCAGAATTATGGTTGGAAGTAAGTAATATGTTATCCAATACACAAATATCATCTACCTCTTTTTAGGTTATACAAAAAACAACAAGACCGAATACTCAGTGGAGAGAAATTGTGGTTGGCTTACTTGTTACATGTTAAAGACTTACCACGGCATAGACAAATACTGTGAAACATGCATGACTGATTATTGCAATGCTCACAAACCATATCTTGGTCCAAGTTTCAAGCGTCTATAAGGAATGTGAACATTTTTCTGTATACTACTACTATGCGATTAAAATTGAGTTGCTGTTGGGTCACCTTTGGAATTTTTGTTTACATGGGAAATCGTACTTAACTTGAACTTCCAAAGGCGACTCGAAAGCAACTCATTTTTGATAGCCTGTTTATCACTAATTATGTTATTGTTCTCTATTATATTTTTGTTCCTTTTTCTTTAATATTATCCTCTAAACTACAAAATGAAATAATTATGTTATAATATACAGTTTAATACGAATCTTAGTTTAAAATGAATCTTATTTTAATAGGACAAACATCAAAGTAGGTTCAAACCTATACCTCCACCCCCCAAACCAAACTTTTTGAAAAAAACTATCCAACTTTAGCACTCATGTACCTACAGAATTCAGAACGTCACCCAAAAAATTGACTCCCAGAAAATTCGCCTTTAAAAACCGCTTTTTAAAACTTTTAGTATATGTGGCGAACCAAAAATGTATCTTGTACCTATCAGTCTACAGATAATCAGAACGAATAGATTTATTATGACAGTATATACTTTGTGCATTAAAAGTAAATTAACCCAAAAGGGCTGAAATGCAACTGGTATGATGATTACGAATTTGGTATTGGAAAAACGTTACACCAACGACATAAGTTTGCATAAAAACTTATGTCAGTGAAGTTAGCCTCGCCCAATAAAAAATTCAGAAAGTAAGGAGTATTATCGTTTGTTTTTCGTTAGTTATCGATTGTTTTAGCAAAAAATTGTTTGTTTCGTAATGCAATAGGCATTAAAAATTTGTAAAATTGGCCGGGGCCAACTTCACATTGCTCGACCCACTTAATGTAATTTTTTAAAATTGAATAACAGTCTTGCATTTCGTGCGTTTAGCTATTGGTTGTTTTGCTATGTTTGTTTCGCGAAATCCGCTCTACAGTAAACAAAATTGTGGGCAGGCTAACATCACACCAGCCCGACCCAGAATAAATTTTTAATTACTTTGATGCTAAAAGGTGGAAAATCGGTATTTATTGATTGTTTTTGACAATGTTTCGTAAAGTGATAAGTATAAAGAACTCCGAGAAAAATTCACATTGCCCGATCCACACTTGATTTGAGTAAGATTCTTTCATTTTAGGTATTTAGTTACTCCTTGTTTTGCTTTAATCAACGTTTGTGTTTTGAAATACAATTTGCAGATATATTTATTTACCTATATAAAAATCAGGAAAACGACACATTACTGGCGAGGGAACATTTAATTTCCGAGGCAGTCTCATTTTACTGACGAGTTTTGTATTACATTTTTCATCTTTCTGCCAATAGCCTTGCTTTTTAGATAGGTTGGCTGGTAGGTACTTTTGAAAGCAACAATAAAGAGTAGTACTTATGCTGTGTCTTATGTGCATCGCATTTAAACAACCATTAATTTTAAAGTGATTAACAATTTTTTTATTGTTTGAACACAAGGTTTCTACATATTTCACAGTCTTTTACGCTCCTTAACCTGTTACTGACACTATCAACTTTTTCTTCAGTTGAATACATCGCACACGAATGAAATTAGGCGTCCTTCAGAAGAGATTTCGTCATTCAAAAGTAGACAAAGGGAAAAACAATGCACGCAAATCCCTATGTCTATTCTAAAGGAATGCCAAATGTAGCTGATCTAAGTGTAAAAATAAGATATGATCAAAGTGTACTAGACAAAGAAATTTAACGCCATGCACTTAAATGTGAGCATTGTGTATAACCTGTAGAAATCAGAGGTTTATTGGTATTACACCGTGTTAATAGATGGACAGACATAAAAACCCCAGAGGATGGTTTCATAAACCAATAAGCACATTGTATGTTTAGCACTCTTTGATATAATGAAAAATTAGGGTAGAAGTAACCTTTTAAATCATTGTTGTACTACTACCGACTACCTAAATAACAATAAAAGATTTGTGTTGTGCTGAAAGTAAAATATCACATGTAAAGTCACTGGTAAACTTAAAAGAAATAAAAGGATCGGTATCACAAAATAAAATCAGCCTACAATTTAGGAGTAGCCATAATCTAAAAACAGAAGAACTATTCGGCATAAATTGAATCGCCAGCCTGATGCCTATAGCAAAAATCTCTGCCGCTCAACGCGGTCAATTTACACGGAGTTCCCAATCGCGTTTTTGCGCTACACGAATTTTTTATACCACCGTTCAGTACCGATGGCGTGCGGCTTCTGGATCTTGGGGGCAAATACCCAGATTTCAAGTAAGACATGGTAGGTGATAAGGGTGGCTCACTGTAACTGTAATCATCGTGAACCGCGGATCCATTAACGGATTCGTTTTCGTAATTTTCGTCAGGCATGACGCTGTTATTGTTCTCCCGATTTTTTTTGGGAGTCAATCTCTCTTTTATCGCGGGAACGGTACGTTGTATGACTCGTGTATGCCACAATGCTAACATGGATGACACCATCAGTTGAACTGGAACTAATTTATTAAGACTGAGTTAATAATCTGCATCTTTACGCACCGATAATGCAGCCTCCAACGGAAGTAGTTAAGGTGATCGGGTCCAAAGCATGCTCACTTTTATGCAACGTCAGCGCTAAATTTAAAGGTAGTGAAATTGCGACGATTAATCGAGTAATGATTTGTGCACCGAGAAAGGCGCATGTAATCATTGCGATTAACAAAAATGAAGCGTGCCAAAGGATGGCGTATAATCTTTCGATGGCCGAATCAGTTCCGCCAAGTGCCGAATTAATCCACGCCAGACGCTCTTCTAAAGCCCGCCTGGTGCCCCCCACTAACGACACAAGAGAATGAACAGTCGCGTTAACTTCGGCCAGTTGTTCAACTGTAACTTGATATTGTTGCTGCGCCAATTCACTCTGCTTCAACAATAACTCTGAGGAATCCTCTGGAAAATTGGTCCTTAAAACGCTTACATCTTGTCAAGTAAATGCGTACCTATTCGTTGGAAAATAACCTGCACCTTGTTCTGTATTGAAACTAAATCATCTAAAAGCTCCTGATGGTTAAGGTGACTCTCATCTGAATGCTCTTTCAGCTGTGACGCTGCCAATTCGAGTTTGCCCTGTACAGCGTGTGTCATTTGCATTAACTGATCGTTTGTTTCTGCAATGAGACGCTTTTCGTCTGCCAGACGTTGAATGTTGTTTTCAATTGACAATTGACTGTGTAACTGGGCACGTTTAAAGTCGTTTTGTTGTCTTACCAGATGCTCTTGACCTATCAACATTGAACTTGTTAAAAAAGGAAGGTTTCTTATAATATTAACAATGGTCTTTATATTGTCTTCTCCCATTGTATTAAGCCTTGCAGGTAAGTTACAATAAACAAGGAAAAAACAATCTTGAAGCGTAACATTTTTTGTTCTACCACCTGGCCTACTTGAAAGAGCAAGACATTATAACGTATGTCGCTACCATTAAGGGGAGGTTTTGTTCTTTATGGAGGTATTTTTTTTGTTAGATCCATAGGGCAAACCAGGACATGTATAAAACTATTGGCGAATAGAGGAGACCGAATCAAAAAGCGTCCAGAATGTCTCGATTGAGAACTAGATTCCCAACTTTCTAGCTTTTCAAGGGATTGAAAAACCTAAATATACGGAAATCTCTAAAACTGAAATAAACAAAATCGCAATTCGAGTTTAATTTTGTAACGTTATTTTCCTACCGATTGGTATTCCTGATTGGAATTCCACTTAAGTAACTATTTGATTTGTGCCATCTCGGTATTTCGTTTGTAATCCACTAGTGAAAGATGTAAGCTAATTTCTGCAGTAAATTTGTTCCAAGTCTTAGAGATTGCTTATTACAATAGTTCTTTATTTTGCCGTTAGAGGCCATCCAAGTTGTTTTACTTAGTTCTTTGTCTTGTCGCTTGAGTTCACGCTTTGTACGTTTCTGCACTTAATTCCATCCCTTCTTCTTTTTTATCTCGCCTATCAGAACTAATTTTATGTCATCTCTTTTTAGTAAAGGGCGAGGTTAAGATGATAGAGCAAAATCTTCATTTACATACAAATTGCGTTGGAAAAACCCAATACTTATTTTGATATCATGGAAGGAACTAAAGGTTATGCTAAAAATTGCACAAGAAAAAATAAACTGCCGCGTTATTTTTACCGTTTGTCACCCTGTAATTAGAATGTAATCCCGCAAGACGAGCTCGCGCTAGTTACAATAAAAAAATGTTTAAAGAAATTCGCGCCGGAACAGTGCCAAGTACGCAAAAAGTCTTGTCTGTGACTTTTGTCGTAATGGGAAAAGGGACAGCGATCAGTTATCAATGTTCAAATGCGTTTTTTTAGTCACAAAAAGGGAAAACCTTGATCCCATTTAACCTATACTGTATCGCTCATTGTTGTAGGGACCCCAATGGTGACTCCACGAATTTGAACTTCATTATATACAAATAAAAAATAAACAAAACTGTAGCACAACCAAATAAATAAATCCTCAATCCAAATATACAGGGGCATTTGAGAAATTACGCTAACAAATAAACAAACTTGGCCACACTTAAAGAAATAGATAAAACTATGGCCCAAGCATCATTTTATTATTGACACATGTTCCCAAAATGATTTAAGGATTTTTCGGTCCATTGTGTACTGTACCATACCTTTTGCCACTGATTGCAAAGATTCCTGAGCCAGTTCGTGTAGATTCTGTTGATCTTTGGAGATTTTATCCAGATTAAACAGTTGATTGCGAGCCGCTTCCATCAGGCGGTTAATAGTATACTCAGTTAAGCCACGAAATTGAGTTTGACGCACAGAATAGCAGACTGCTCGCACTCGATTACTCATCAAGTGGTAACTATTCCACATGTCCGCATCCATATCCGTGGTGCACTCCTTGATACTCATCTCGTCCGTGCAGGGGAAAATTTTACGTCCTTCCACAGACGACTGGCAATTTAAAAGCATCACGGCCATTTTCGCTAATTGCTCATCGTTCATTTTATCACACGAGGTTTGAAGTTTTAACACCACCTGTTGAACATATCGTGTACAATGTAAGAGCGCTGTACTCACGTACCCTATGCTGGCAGGAGTCGAGTGCTGATAAAGCGACACCCGTCAACTTTGCTGCTTCCGAAATGAAGTTCTCGTCGGACTGAGAGACCTCGTAGGGCACCACTTGATTTAAAAACTCGTCATTTGATCGTGGTTCTTGTTTTGGCACATAACCAAAATATGTTCCCACACTTTTTAAGTAATCTAACAACTGGCAGTTGCTGCCGTTACATAATAATAAAATAAAATAAATATGTAAAACTCTTGCACTCATTCTGCTTTCCATTGTAGAATCAAATACAATGTTTATTTTATCTTCACAATTGTCCGTTAAGTTTCAATTTGAATACATAACTGATTTTGCGCAATTTTTTTAGGGTTATGTAACGACCACAGAACTTAAGATGATTCTAACCACAACAAACAATGTGAAATAACCTAACATTCTTAAGTTGTGTTTTTTAAAACTTAATTATGGGCGAGTACGCCGATTTAATAAATAAAAACAAATTAAACGACGTCTTCAGTGATCCTACGAATTACAGTAAACCAATTAAAGAAATTCACGTAGGTCTTACCTTCACCTAGGCGATCATTCACATGTGTATTGTAGGAGAAATGGAAGTTAGTACCGGCCTTTCTGAAAGTGAAGGGTTTAGTAAAACAACACATAGACTCATTCAATTACTTCATAAATGTCGAAATAAAGAAGATCGTAGAAGCGAACGCGAAAGTAACGTGCGACGCTGATCCTCTATTCTACCTTAAGTAAGAACTTATTAGTAATACTGTCGTTAAGTCTACCTTTAGGTACGTAAATGTTTATGTTGGGACGCCTGATGTCGACGAAGGTTTTAATATAAGTAAACCTGTTACACCACACGAATGTAGATTGCGCGATATGACTTATTCGGCACCCATCACCGTAGACATAGAGTACGCGAGAGGAAACCAAAGAGTCGCCAAGACAGGGTTATTAATAGGCCGAATGCCGATAATGTTACGTTCGTCTAATTGCGTCTTGTCGAATAAATCCGAATACGAGCTGGCAAAAATGAACGAATGTCCTCTTGATCCGGGCGGGTACTTTGTCGTTAAAGGGCAGGAGAAGGTCATATTGATTCAAGAGCAGCTGTTAAAAAATCGGATGATTGTCGAAGAGTCAAAGTTCGGAATTCAGTGCCAAGTGACCAGTTCGACGCACGAAAAGAAATCGCGAACGATAGTATTCGTGAAAGGGACAAAGTATTATATGGCACATAACAGCTTTACTGATGTAAGTTATTCGTTAGCTGCTCTAATGCTGTTTTTAATTACAAGCTGTGCTGAAGGATTTGGCAATTTATATGCAGTAGGTCAGTTGCCTGTGGAAAACAATTAAATACCATCTTAGCTTCTCTGTGCTTCATTTTTATTTGCCTTAGTGGGAGATAAAAATATGAAGACAGGAGTTGGTCCTCCTAGCCTAGATATTTTTTTGTATTTTTTCTTCTGCCATTGTTGCCTGTTTAGGAAAACCCATCTTGGCAACAAACAACTATTTTAAATTCTGATCGCCAAGTGCAGAGCCAAAGTTTGGCAAGCTTCTTCTTCCTTGATCAGAATTAGTTGCTATACACACGCTTTATCAAAAGTTAAAATTCAATTGCTAAGGTGAGGGCTGCTGTGATAGGCTTCTAATATCGTAACAAACAACATATAAAAATCAGATTAAAAAAAATACTTTTGAAATTTCATAATTTTTGTCAATTTAAAAAATGTTGCCTAGTGAAACATTCATACCTGGCTCACCTGAGCAACTGTTGGGCCCACCTTGCCGCACTTAATGAGACGCCATCTCATGAATGGAAGGTATAAGGTGTTATATTATGGAATAACTAACTACTCGGCAAAATTTCAGATTTTATCATATAGATACAGCCCAGGTTACGCGCCACTGGCTCTCAGACTAAATAGTTTTTATCCAAAATTATTAGCCACCCCTTTTGGTCACACATAAGGGTAGGTTGAAAAAATTTGATGATTCATATTTTCTTGTTTGTTTATTTTACCTATTTTGAGGTACTTATTTATAGATTGCCTGCATAAGAAATATAACAGAATTATCATAAAAATCGAATTAAAAAACAACAAAACAGCAAATTTTAATGGTCTATTCCATAAATCTGTAACAAGGATTAGGCAAGGAAATGTTTCATACAATCTTTGCAATAAATTAGTCACAGTCAACGTACCAATAAAAAACAAACTAAGTAGACAATCCTTTCTTAAAGTGATTTCTTAAAAAATTTTGCCAAGGTATACGAGACTGTGTGCAAAAATATTGAAACTAAAGTTGGAGACAATTATACAGTGTGTCTACTTAAGTTGGCAACATATGGAACACTTTTTTATTATAAGTTTTTTGAAAAAAAGGTCTTCTTTAGTCCTGCTTGTTTCAAAACTATAAAGGCACCATTTAGTTTTTCTTTAAAATGCGAGGTTGTCTAATAAATTGAAAAAAAACCTGTCTTGCAACATTAAAATTTTGACTTTAGAGTACTAAATTAACAGATAAAATCAAGTATCACAGTTCTATAGCAATATGCGATGTTTGCCTTTGCTAGAAGCATCTGTGGTTAAAATTTCAAACAAATATCTCGATAACTAAGACAGTTGTGACGTTTACAATATGAGATACGTTTGCTTTTACTAAAAGCATCTTTCTTTGGTTAAAATGTCAAAGAAATACCTCCATAAATAAAAGAAAGTTGGGCATTGCGCATGCGCACATCTGATTTTTAGTATATGCAATATGTTTGCCTTTACTCACGATACACTTACTTACTAAACGGTGTCTATACAAATTCGAATAAAAACAAGAATATTTACTTGTCTCTATCTAATCTCTAAAAAAATCCATTTGCAACATTGCCAAATCAAGATAGCTTGTAATTAAAGAGGGTATTGACTGTGCCAATTAGTTCGCATCTTTGTTTTAGCCCATTCCTGTATCAATCATATTTAAAGCAATGGGAATTACAAGCGATCAGGAAATTTGCTCGTACGTCTGTCCTCAAGATATCAGTAAATTCGCGCCCACCTTAGAAGAATGCCACAATTTGAATATTTACACAACAGAAAACGCCGTTAGGTATCTCGGCACGAAACTGGTCGCCAAACGTTTCGTAACATCCGCAACAAAATATAAGTCGCCGGCGGATGAAGCGCGTGATATGCTAGCGACAACAGTTTTGGCTCACATTCCCGTCGAACAATACGATTTTCAGACTAAAGCAATTTATTTAGCATTAATGGTTTGCACTTTCGCTCGTAGCGCACACTGATTGACTTGGTATTGCAGGTGAAGCGAGTCATAGATGCACAAAATAATAAACAGGCAATCGACGACCGCGATTACTATGGCAATAAACGGTTGGAGTTGGCCGGCTCGTTACTATCCCTTATGTTTGAAGATGTCTTCAAACGTTTCAATTGGGATTTAAAGTCGATAGCGGAGAAGACGATTCCGAAAATACGGGCGAGCCAGTTTGACGTGATCAAGTACATGAGATCGGATTTAATTACAAATTGTCTCGTGTTTGCCATATCCACGGTATTTGTTATTTCAGTCGGTCGAGTAATTTTTTTACAGTAGTCTGTAGGGAAATTGGACTATTAAACGTTTCCGGATGGAACGTCAGGGTGTCACACAAGTTTTGTCCAGGTTAAGTTATATTTCCGCCTTAGGGATGATGACGAGAATCAATTCTCAGTTTGAGAAGACTAGGAAAGTGTCAGGACCACGTTCTCTACAACCCAGCCAGTGGGGTATGCTGTGTCCAAGCGATACACCTGAAGGAGAGGTAAAGTGTACTAGCTAACTGTTTACAACAACTCATAAACAAATTGCCAATTACCTGAGCATGGCTGTATTTTGATATTGTCAGCAAACTAGTGTCCTAAATTTAGATGATTGAGAGAGTATCATTATTGATACATTAAGCAATGTTACGCCAGCGTTTATTGTTTTGCAGGTTTTGCGGCCGATCCATTGAACTATACTACTTATACAATCATTATCATTAGTTCACTATCATTAGATCATAAAGACACTGGACGATTTTAATGCGATATTTCCATTCAAATGTTCTTTAATAATGCCTTCGGCTCGTACGGAATTACTCGAGCATGACGGGCGAGATGATTTTATTCCCGTGCAAAACATGTAGTGTGTATACCGGGCGATAAGAAGTCGCTTCAAAAATTTTGTAGTACCTCATTTTCAACATTGTTACGTTATAGGCATGCGGACTGGTAAAAAACTTGGCGTTAATGACGCACATCACCACTGAAGGAGACGACTACCCTCTCATTCGATTAGCCATGAATACCGGTGTACGAAATATTAATTTAATTGGAGGAGAATCTTTGCACTCAGCTGTTAATTACATAGTATTTTTAAATGGTAATATTTTGGGTGTGACCAAGGAGCATAAGTATCTACTAGATTCGTTTCGTATGTGGCGAAGAGCGGGAAAAATTTCGCAATACGTGTCGGTTTATTTAAATAAAAGTCAGCGGTGTATCTACATTAGTTCAGACGGTGGAAGGCTGTGTAGACCGTATATTATCGTGAAAAATGGTACACCGTTAGTAACATCAAAGCATATAAGCGATATGGAGAAAGGCATAGGAGTTATTCGAAGTTTTGAGGACTTCATCCATCGAGGTTTGATTGAATTTCTGGACGTAAATGAAGAAAATGACAGTTTCATTGCTTGCTATGAGCACAATATCACAATGCAAACGACACATTTAGAGATCGCAACTTTCACTCTGTTGGGAGTGTGTGCCGGTCTTATTCCCTACCCTCATCACAATCAATCGCCAAGAAACACCTACCAGTGTGCTATGGGAAAACAAGCTATGGGTAAGCGAGTATGCTAATTTTGTAACGTAATTAAAGAACTTTAGGAACAATCGGGTATAATCAACGAAATCGCATTGACACGTTACTCTACAGTTTGGTTTATCCCCAACCGCCGATCGTTAAGACTAAAACAATAGAAATGGTGCACTTCGACAAACTTCCCGCTGGACAAAACGCTACGGTGGCGGTAATGAGTTACAGCGGTTACGACATTGAAGACGCTTTAATAGTAAATAAAGCCTCAATCGATAGGGGCTTCGGGAGGTGCTTGGTGTACAGAAACGCGAAGTGTTTCTTAAAACGTTACGCCAATCAAACATTCGACAGAATTCAGGGCCCATTAATCGATCCCGTTAATAACAAAGTGATATGGAAACATAAAATATTAGACTCGGATGGTATCGTTGCGCCAGGAGAGTTAGTGGAAAATCGACAGGTTTGTTCAAGGCAGGATAAGTGGTCTTTTTAAGGTATGTTGGTAGGTGCTTGTGAATAAGTCGATGCCAGTTATATCGACGGTTCCCGGAACAACTCCCGGCTCGAGTAATGTGGATTATAAAGACGTCGCGGCGTCATATAGGAATGTCGAACCAAGTTATATCGAAAAAGTCATGGTGTCGACGAACGAAGAGGATTCGGGGCTAATTAAAATTCTGCTGAGGCAGACGAGGCGGCCGGAAATCGGCGATAAATTTAGTTCGAGGCATGGTCAGAAGGGAGTGGTTGGTAAGTAATGTTTGTATATAATAATAATGTCTTTTGTTAAATCACCCTAATCACATTAAGTAAAACGAATAACTAAATAATAAATACTACATACGGTGTAGGGGTTTATCATAAATCGCTAGTTAATAATAATAATAATAATGCATTTATTTTCATAACATAACAAATTAGAAACAAAGGCTGAGAGTGTAATAAGGTGACCAATGCACATACCTAAATGTAAAGTAAAAAAAAAACAAATGAATATCGCAAAGTTAGTAAATAATGCAAATTGGTAAATTTTAATGGAACGCCCCGTATATTTTTCAAAAATTAAATAAGTAGATCTGTTGTTTCAGATTTCTAAAATATATACAGTGCGTCCGAGATAAGAGGGTCACCTCTATATCTCTTTTATTTGACGAGATGCGAAAAACTTGTCATTTATAATTTTATATGTGACATTACGATCTATCCGATCGCATATTCAAACTTCCGGTTGATGCTACTTCAAAACAAAACATTGAACAAGTTACTGTAGGCCTTTTCTGTGTAATATGGCACATGGCATACTAGATTTCATAAGTTTTTTAGATATTGAATGTGAATCACGAATTTCTCCATTTTTTTGTATATCAACCATATGCATATTTTATGTTGCCGTACAGAAAATTGATTGCTCTTTTCAAAAAACATAGGCATTGCGTTTAAAAAACAAGTGTTGCATCGATTTCCTGTTATTTTAGTTATTTAGGTGACCCTCTTATCTCGAACGCACTGTATATGTTGACATTTGCTATTATTAAAGGGCTAGTGGTAGAGCAGGAAGATATGCCATTCAACGAATATGGCATTTGCCCGGACATCATCATGAATCCTCACGGTTTTCCATCCCGTATGACCGTGGGTAAGTTAATCGAATTGTTGGCGGGTAAAGCGGGGCTGGTTGAAGGTAACTAGCATGTCATACATACAGACGTTACAATATTGTTTTTAGGTAAATTTCATTACGGTACTGCTTTCGATGGGTCAAAGGTGGAGGACGTCAGCGCAGAATTGGTTAAGCACGGTTTTAATTATCAGGGAAAGGATGTGTTCTATTCAGGAATCACGGGTGAGCCTCTAGAGGCGTACATTTATTCTGGGCCAGTCTACTACCAGAAATTGAAGCACATGGTGCAAGATAAAATGCACGCAAGGTAAGTTCAGTGGTTAAATTTGCCTGTCTTGAGGTTGGCGTTTGTTAAAGGGCGCGAGGACCCAGGGCTGTACTCACCAGACAACCGACGGAGGGTAGGAGTAGGGATGGTGGTTTACGTTTAGGGGAGATGGAACGTGATTGTCTCATTGGCTATGGTGCAAGGTAATGAAAGGACTTACAATACAAATACTAACGAATTATTGCAGTATGATGTTAGTTGAACGTTTAATGGTCTCTAGTGATCAGTGCGAGGTGGATATATGCAATCATTGTGGCCGGTTAGGCTATTGTGGTTGGTGCAACAGCTGTAAAAGTTCCGGACACGTCTCGACCATCACGATGCCATATGCCTGTAAACTCTTACTCACAGAGCTTCAAGCTATGAATGTAACAGCAAGACTGACATTAACACATTATTGTCAATAGAATTTATTTAATTGTTTTTACACTTGTACTCAAGTATACGAGTTACTTTTATGTTTTGGTAAAAACTGAAAGCCTTCGGGAACTTTTCCTAACAACATTTCACTTATTTTGATCCAATCGGATGCGGCAGACGACGCCATTAACGTTTCCAAATCGTCGCGCCCATGGAAACGTGGCGGCCTCTCATTAATTTTTTGAGGCGGCCTTTCCAGTAAAGCAACCGGTATATACCTATACAAAAAGGATAACCACTCTAAAAGAAAACGTCTCGTATTCTCTACTCCTTTCGTATCCGAACCCCAATGCTCCAAGCCGTAGTTAACATATTTTTTTATGATATCGAACCTTTCTGCGCTGGAAATATCCCATAGCTTTTGCTCTTTGATCTCTGTAAATATCCAAGGTTTTATTAGGGCACCTCTTCCGATCATCACTCCTGTTAATTCGGGACAACTCTCCCGTGCAGTCTTGTAATCTTCATAGCTGAGTATATCTCCATTTCCGACAACCGGCAGAGGCACAGCAGCCTGGGCGCAGCGCCCGATGTACTGCCAGTCGGCCAACTTCGTGTAACGTTGCTCTCTGGATCTACCATGGATCGTTACCATACTCGCACCCCACTCACCAAATTTGGGAATCTGCAAATGGCGCATGAACGCGTGCGTTTACCAATTTGTGCATATTACCAAATCATGCGCGATACTCTCAGTACTATACACACCTGTGCGCGTTTTAACAGTTAAAGGTATACTAAGCACTTGACTCAAAGACCGTACACACGCCTCAAGAACTCGCGGCCTTCGCAATAAACCGCACCCACCCCCTTCTCTATACACCAACTCGATTGGACAGCCCAAATTCAAATCGATAAAGTCGATTTCTGTCTCCTTCTCTAACATTTGCCCACATTTCGTTAACAAATGTGGATTGTTGGCACAAAGCTGAACTCCGAACACCTTCTCTGTGTGATGCCTTTTAACTAACGCCCACTCCTGTGGCAAACCCTGCAGAAGAGACGAGCACATTGCCATTTCGCCACAGGTAATGTCGGCACCGTACTCCTTACAAATACGTCTGAAGGGTAGATTGCCTACGGTCGTTAAGGGGCTCAATAAGAGCTTATCCTTCCAGTCTAGGGATTTTTTTTCTCGACTCAGTGTTTTTATGATGTCTTCGTCGGTAATGGAACCGGAGTTGGTGCTGTTCTTTTTCTGAAATGGTAGGATTCATTATTATTGTGTAGCAATATAACATGGGTAAAGCAATGAAAATGATACAAGTGGAATTTCACCCCTTTGCTGAGAACCATTGTGCTGACTATATAGATGATATCAGCATAGTTTACTTGAGCTCTACTACATACCCCAAAACTCACCATCGCTAAGAATATAATACTGTCACAAAATACAGGAGCCATTATTAATAAAAAAAAAATTATTGTTAGTGTTAATTCCATATGCTGGTACTCTCTTTATCCACATTATAGATACAATCAACTTTTGTTGTGAAATTTTCTTGTTTACAGTAATAAATTATTTCATTTCATTATTTCAATTACCTGCAAATCATTATATCGAACAATCTTCTCAGCAAATTTAAAATCATAATTCCGTTTCTTTAGCAAATTTTGTAGATCGTGAGATAACTGATTAACTGTACGTTCAGGTATTTGAAGATGCTCTTTTTGCTTCTCTTCGTTGACAATATTGAAGCCATCTGATGTTACATGCTCTTTACCGAATCTACAAGTTAGCCCCCTCACACAAAATCCGGCCGTATTAAAGTTATAACACTGGTCACCTAAAGATATACAATGAAAATTTAGACAAAACTACATTAACTGATACCGATATCGACAGGCTTCGAATTTAGATATTCCTGGATGTCGTGCATAAAAAAACATTTTTGCTTATTGCACGTTGGTAGCTCCTTTCCTACGGCAGTGTTAATTAATGAATTGCATAACTCTTTCTCTTTGTTTTGCTTGAAAACGGGTCGAGATTTATTCTGCCCGTGTAATTTTCGCTTCTCTTTCTTTGACAAACGAGGTTTCTTTGCGTCAGGCTCAACAGTATCTCCCTCATTTTTACTGTGGATTTCCTCTTTGTCTTTGGCTGGTGCACAGTCGGGGGCTACTTTAGGTTGATGTTCTTCGATTATGTATCTAAAAATTCCAGTGCTATTATTATGACCGGACGTGGAGTTTTGGAATACTTGCTCTGGTTTTATTAAACAAACTCCTGATAAACTCATTATTATTGTTTATAACCTAACAAATTCACAAAACACATGTCAAACATCAATTGGTCGCATTCAGTGAAACATCTGCATCTGAACGCACCCAATTAGTGTTTACATTTTAAATCATAACCTCAAATTGTCACGGGGAGATCCACAGATATGAATATAAAAACATTTATTGTGCCCGAAATTGTAGCATATTTGTAAGATAAATTTTAACTTGTTGTACTTATGATGCATATATTAATCTACAGGAAAAATGTTGCAACGTTAACGGAGAAAGTTGTTGTTGTTTCCATTATCGGAAAAAGCGCATATAACGCAAATTTGAAAGTGAAATCCTTGTGTCGTATGTTTTCCGAAGACAACATCAGCTCAAGAGACGTACGTAAATTAATCTACTTATTAAACGTAACACGACCGTTACAGCACACAATTGAAGGGTATTACGATCCAGTAGACCACATAATTTACCTCCACGTTCACAGTTTACTGGATACAGATGCGCTAATTAAGCATTACGATGATATAGTCAAGCGGTGTCAAGAAGAAGGCAAAAATGATGATTTTTTGACAGTCTACAACGAAATAAAGAGTACTTTTGCCCAGATGTTACTAGTGCTCTTCTATGTAAGCCACATAGTTGTTCTCTCACATCCGTCATCGTCCTTTGATGTGAACTACATTCAATATTTTAAAGCAATCGATCAGCTTAGGCAAAAACTAAGTGGTCAGATATCGGATTGTCTTCGCGAGATCGACGGGATTAGTTTAGACTGGATAAATAATTGTCGTCCGTGTACGCCCCGGCTTCTGTTTTACTTCGAGAGGTGTCCCAAAGGTGTAACAAATATTAAAAAGTTAGAGCACGACATTGAAGATCGCATTTATCATATTTTGAGAAAAATTCGTATTATTAGCAGTACAAAGTAAGATGTGATGGTCCAGGGGTCTACCCCTACTAGATAATTTTTTTTCTCTCGTTTGCACTAAACCTTGGTTTCTTAAGGTTCTAATTTTCGTTTTTATTATTTTTTTGAATTTGAAGTTTCAGTTCTTTAGTCTGTAAAACTGTGCGAATGATCAAAGCCTATTTTTGCACATGACATTTACGATACCCAGATTAAATCATGGCTTTAAATTCTTCATGATACAACCAAATTAATAAAAAATGAAAAAAAAAGGTTTTCACCTTAATGTGCGATATGATTGTCTTTACTAGAAGAATTTTTGGGTAAAATTAAAAAAAAATATCATTAATTAAGAAAGTTGACATTGCGCACATTAATTGTCAAGATTTTTCTTTGTTGAGATGCCAGAGCTGTAAGCTAAAGGCGCTAAAAAAACTGCAGCTTTCGGTGCTGAGCTCTCAAACCCTCGTAGGGTCAGACAAACAAAGTTCATGTTATTAGAAACATTGAAAAAACAATTGAATGGCGCATTATGACACACAATCACGAACTTGCACACAATCCAACTACTATCACATCTGCTTATGCCAATTTTATCCTTGTTTGCTGCTGTACTGTTACAAAATGCTGCCAGTAATGCCAAGTAATATTGCGTAATGTCTTAGTCATATCAGAATACCAATAATTTCGTGCTATACACTACGCTAATCCTTATTAATTTGTGTCAGTGGTGGTAGACCCCTCTGTGAAGTTGGGCACTTCATATTGATGGACGTTTGATTTTAGTACTTCCTCTTTGTTTGCCATTCCCCCAAATGAGGAATTTGTGTATATGTCCGAAGAGGAGCAGGTCGATCGGTTGGGTCATGCCGTTAGAAGCTTAATTCTGGGCTGTCAACCGGGGGCCATGCTGCAAGTGGAAGTTCCTTATTGCAGTCAGCCGGATATTGGGCGCAGTTTTAAGAGCTTCTTGCAGGTGCACATACAGCACGCACGTAGTAAGGGATTTGATGATAATGTTACATCCAGTCGCCATTCTCAGCAATTGCCAGCTTACTTTGAGCTTCCTTCGTTACAACATTGGGCCGAGGCATGCGAAGAAGTATATAAGGTTGTCATGAAGCAAGAAACGATGGCGTCCTTAAGCACAGACACAAGATTTTCCGAGCAGCGTTGCTTGAAGGTATTGCCACTAGCTTTGGCGCGATATCAGGAAAGTGTAGCAATCCACTATACACGTGCTGCACACGAAGCGCGATTGGCCTTAGCATTAGCGTTTTTCGCCGCTCAAGCTAGGGGGCCTCTGTTCCATCAGTACAGTGCACAACTGGTAGCTGATTGCACAGCCTATTGGGAAACTGGCCGGCAGTCATGTGAAGTTGCATCACTAACAGGGAACCCTTGTACTTTACCCAAACATAGTTCTGATCAGGAACATTGTAATACAGTCCGTTACATCGGTTAGTGACTGACTTTCTACACTATAGAGGATCGGTTGATAATTGCTTATAAACTTGCTTTTAAAAGTAGTTGGGTAATTAGTACGGAGCTGTGTGGCGCCACTTAAGTTTCCTGTTATATCAATAAACCACGTTTGTGAATCGTCAAGAACAAGAAGAAAGAGGACGATTTTATCTCTTTTGTCTAGGACGAAATGTTATAATTGATTTCAATAATGCAGATCTTCACCCTCAAAATCTCCAGGGAACTCGCCCCATGCAAATTCGCCCCAGAATACGTGCGCCTGTGGTGCATTCATCCTTGAAAGACTCTTCTCGGAATATTCAGCTCTGGAGAACGCTCCACTAAAAGATTCGCTTTTATGGAAAATACGCCCCTTCTAGAATACTCGTTCGCTAAAAGCTTGCACTAAAAAAAAAATGTACATTCAGAAGAAGATCCGATTTCCTTTTTCTGAAGACTATCAGAAAACTGCCCAGCAAAGGAGGACACGATAATTTCCTTCCTATTACTCCTAGCACTCTCACAGTAGTCTGCCGAAAAAGGTAATAGAATCTTCGGATACTAGAGGGTAGTGGAATACCCCCCAGACTCCTAGTGTTAACTTATCACCCAAATTTTTTGGTCCTTAAATCTTTTGTGTAGTTTTTGGCGAAAAACGTAACACCGGGGGGTGTGGGGTGTACCTCCAGCACACGAAGATCTGATTACCTTTTTCTGAAGACTACCAGAAAAACTTTGCAGCAAAGGAGGACACGATCATTCTCTTTCTACTACTAGCACTCTCACAGTGGCCTTCAGAAAAAGGTAATCGAATCTTTGTATGCTGGGGGGTATTCCAGACCCCCCGGTGCTAATTTCTCACCTAAATCTAGACCCTTTGTGCAGTTTTTGGGGGAAAACGTAGCATATGAAAATCCGATTACCTTTTTTGGAAGACTACCAGAAAAACTCTCCAGCAAGAAGGACTCGATAAGTTTTGCGTGTTACTGCAATTTTTCCCTAATTTCTTTGTATCTTGTATCCGAGATCCCCATGATAGATCCTTATCTTGCACACAGTGTATAAATGTTCACTTAAAATTGGCATCAACGTTCGGTGTAAACGGAAGTGCCACCAACTTCAATACACTTTTGATCAATTTCTCCTATGGAGGTATATTGTAAAATATTCCAAGGTCTCCGTGTCGAGATAAGATATCTGGCAGATGTGGAACACCCTGAATTTGCTACTAGATGCGGACTACTTACTTTCGAAATTTGTGGTTTACAGAAATTAATGGTTTGCTCGTTTGCAGAGAAATCTTACATATAAATCACCTTTTCTCTATAGTGTAAAAACTCGATATGCGCTCATTGACAAAAGTAATGATCGTCTAACAGGTAATGCTGCATAAGCAACCAACCTCCCTATTACAACTGGCTCCGTTAGTGTCTTCAAGGAGGAGATATTTTAATTTGTTGGTTCGCATTTAGAAATTGCACAATATATTCAAATGTTGGTTGCGTATGCTGCAGGATTTACCTATTTGGCGATCATTATTACATATCACTATAAAAATGTATTTGTAGCGGTCTGTGATTGTGGACGTAAACAAGGCACGAGAGATGACCCGTACACCCCCAAACAAGCGAACTTTACATTCTACAATCAATTAGGAAAGGAGTGTACCTGCCACGCGGCGCAACGTCACTTCTTCCCAGTCTTCCAACCATCCATTAAAGAATACACAGCAGCCACGTTAACAGAAAACGACGATACGGTTCTGTCAGACGAGCGCGGCGATTTGACTCCCGATTTAGACAGGAGTCTCGTAAGACAAGCGAGTACAACAGAGTATCTGCCAGGAATGCTCACTTTGAGTTCGCCACCCGGACTCCTACCGTGTTATTCGAGCTGGTCCTTAGTTTACTTGGGCCCATCTTCATTGTACAGTCATAACTTGGGTTTATCAGAGTCCCATCATCCCGGGTTTGTAAACTCAACGAATTATTTGCTGCCTTGGGATGTAACGGTGTATTCGAAGGGGCGTACGTCTTGGCCGCAATTAAGCAAACATTCCTCGAGGGGGCGGCGGCCTCGTGCTAGTAATTCCATGCCACAGTTTACTGTGAAAGTTTTTATTGGCGTGGAATATGAATGTCCAAGAGGACATAGGTTTATGTTAGCTGCACCTGATAAAGTACTGAGGGCGGCTCCAGGGAGTATTGTTAAAGATACAGGTCACAAGATTGCAGAGTCGGACATGCCTCTGTACTTCCCTTGTCCTTGCCGTCAGAGCAAACCATTAACAGCACAATTGATGCGTTTACATGTTGTGACACCAAAATCTCTCGTACACTGCACACTTAACCCCAAGGTAACCTTCCTGGCTGTATTAATCTGTACTTAATAATCTGTTTTAAGGTACAACCTGCACAGGGTGCCCCAATTTTTGTTCCGTCTGTTGAAGGACCTACAGTTCTTTCTCAATCGGCCTACTGGGTAATGCGTTTACCGTACGCTTATGTTTCCGATAAAGAGAGTTATCCTGAAAATATATCAGCACGTCTGCTTTCAGGGGTGTTTGGAGTGTCAGAAGTAGAATAAGTGTAATCTTGTTAATAAATGTTTTGTTATAGACCGATTTATCTTACTACATTCTTGAAAGTCAAAAATCGTGAACTCGGTTAGGAGCTCGTTAAGAAGAAAGTTAGATTGCGCTTGCGCAGTTTCAATTTTTTTTTGCATTTCGTTTTGAAACCTAAGAAAAGGTGGGATTTCTTTGCCGTTTTCAGCGTTCACAGCCCGCCGGACCACGCTGCAACGAAATCTAACCTTTAGGACAATATTTTAGGGAAATTATAAGAAATTCCAATAATCTTTATTTGATAATGAACAAGTACGGTCTAAATTTCCTTCTCATAGGACAATTACGTGAATAAGGATACAAGAAAAGCACAGTCGGACCAGTCGCTGTAGCCTTCGAATTTCCACGAACCGTATAAGCTTTCCGGTAATCTCGGGGGCCTCCCAGGGATGTTAATGAACTTCCAAACATCTCAGAAATGTTGGCTCCTCAAGGGACCGATTATATGACGTATGTGTACACGTACGAGGTGTACACCCTGTATACTGAAAGCTTGACGTTTAGGGATGCCAACTGTTTCTAACCTAAAATGTTTTTTACCCTACGTGTCAGAAGACGATCTTACTTCTATCGAAGTCGAATAATCCTAATCATCTTTTTGGTAATTTTAGAGATCTTTGGGATTATCTATTTTGTACAATCGTACCAAAGCTGTTGTATGAAGCAGCTTAACTAACTTTGTAAGTAGATTTTCGTATATTAAATAAAGTACACAAAGAATTTTTAATCATATTGCATCATTAATCAATTTTGTTTGCTAATTTGCAGTAATCCTCTCATTTATATGTCCGATTGGGACCCAAATTCCAGACGACCTTTTAGCGAAGGTCGACGCAGCTATCGGCACAATGATTATAACAATGCAGGTTATAATCCCTACGGACACCAAAACGGAATTTACAATGTTGCACAATATAATCCAAGTTTTCTACAATCGACTGAATATTACAACCGACCAACTGCTACCAATATGAGTAGGTTTCAAGAGCCGACAATGGCAAGTCATAGCGGACTGGTTAACAATGTGTCTCTGGACGGAAATCAACCACATTCATCTGTAGCACTTCGTTCAAACCTAACACCTTACGCTAAAGAATTTACACCGAGTCGTGCTCACAGTAATGGTGACAGTTACGGCGATAAGAAACAAGGAGCTGTAAAAAAGCGCACCTTCTGGAATAGGGACAGGCGTTTCGATGGATCGAAGCAGAATCACCAAAACTTCCAACATAATAACGAAAACTCGCCACACAATTACGAAAACTCGAGACGTAGCAATGAATACAATAATCGAAGTCGTACCTTCGAAGAGCCTCGTCAGTGTACGGATTACGGTTACAATTCACGAAACGGCAAGTCGGGTGGGTATTACAGGAATAATAATGGCAACAACAACAGGAATTCGTATCGCCGCGATTACTACGATAATAGAAGAGATGACTATTATAAGAAACCTGCACGAGAAGTACCAGAGAAGTATGAAAAAAGGCATAGCAATAAAGTGGATACTTTTAAAAAGAAACCGAATGAAAATTATGAGAAGAAAGGGAAACAGCAGGACCACTTGAAGAAAAAATGTAAGTTCTAAATTTATGATTTTTTAAAATTTTTTGATTTGGGCAACGTATATTTTTTTAAGTGTTTTGCTCGGTGTGTTGAAATTGAGGTGGAGGGATGTGTTGTGTTTTATATATTTAAAGGATATCCCCAAGTTTCATAGCAATAAGAACCACTAACCAGGCACCAAAGTCTGGCCTTAAGGTGGCATTTACATTGAAACATTGCAAATTTGTTTCCACAATAACTGCCCTCTGGGTCAAAATTTTTGGTTCAAATATATAATGTTACGATATTTGCATGAAACAAAAATTATTTAGCTAATTCCTGCACTTTCGCCGTTATTGAGGAAATAAGATCTTAAAAAACTGCCATATAAAATATATCTTTCATTTTTATCACACACTGATAATAATTTGTTACCAAATTTAACTTCATTCACAAGCTAAAACCTTTAGCAAACGTAGGTCGTTAACAGGAGTCCATTTTTTTCCCTTTATTTTTATTTTTTTTATTTATTTATTCTCCTCCACAAGTCGAATGTTATGCAGGTGATAGTATGTGATTCGTACGATAACTGTAAAGACTTTACTTACCTGCCACCTTGGCTTATTTATCCAAATACAAACGTAGTAAGGCTGAAAATAAGAGAAATTGTAACATGAGATTTTATAACTTAAAAAATAATTCTATGTGTCTATTTGTTTAATGCAATCCTAAGATTATTACATTATTTACAGTGGATGCTGCATCGCAAAGAGAACGCCTGGAACATTTAATACTCTGTCGTCTTTTGGAATGCTTGGTCTGTTGTGAGAAACTGCGTCATAACGATCAAATTTGGTCCTGCGGACAGTGCTACCACATTTTACATTTAAACTGCACAATAAAGTGGGCTCAATCATCCAAGATGGAGTCTGGTTGGAGGTGTCCGGCGTGTCAAAAGGTTTATCAGGAAGAGCCTTTCGAATATAGATGTTATTGCGAGAAGCAAGTTCACCCCTCCTTGGATCCTAGTGGCATTCCTCACAGTTGTGGTTCGATCTGCGGGCGTAAAGGGCGCGCCTGCTCGCACACCTGTACTTTGATCTGTCATCCCGGTCCTTGTCCTGATTGTTCGGTGATGGTGCCGAAGACGTGCGCCTGCTCAGCTACCCAGCTTATTGTCAAATGTGGTAGCAACGTTCCTGTCAAGTGCGAGAATATGTGCAACAAGTTTCTGGAGTGTGGTATTCATCGATGCGTTAGCAAATGTCACGAGGGCGATTGTAACACGTGCGGCAACGTCTTACGTCAGGAATGCTATTGCGGTAAAGAAGGCCGAAAGGTTAACTGCACTAACGAGGCCGGCGGAGAACTGCAATACGAGTGTGGGGAAACCTGCGAAAAATTACTGACGTGCGGGAATCACAAGTGCGAACGCAAATGTCACAACGGATCGTGTGATGTCTGCCCCAAATCTCCAAGTCTGATAACCACCTGTCCGTGTGGACAAACAAATTTGGTGAAGAAAAGGAAATCGTGCCTTGATCCAATTCCTTGCTGTGATAAGGTCAGTATATCCTTGTGGATACTTTGAATTGTATCGTGCGCCTGTGTAGATATGCTCAAAACCGTTAACCTGCGGACAACCCAGTGAACCTCACAGGTGCGAGGCGGTATGCCACCAAGGACCATGCGCGCCTTGCCCTAAAAGCACGATCGTGCGTTGCCGTTGTGGTCAGATGGATAAGAAAATTCTGTGTGTGGATCTAACCTCTAAGGCTGATGATGCTCGATGCTCAAAGAAATGTCAAAAGGTAAGGTTGGGTGCTCCACTAGGGACGTTAAGGTTGATGGTATATTTTTTAAGTTAAATATTAATTTATTTAGGTAAAGGAAGTTTAATGGTTTCACTAGACTTTGACGCCAATTTGCGTTTATTATATCCTCCAGTTTTTTATGGTTGCCTGAGATCGAGTCTATACCCCACTTACAAACACCTGGCCAGATAGCTCAATTACACTAATAAAAACAATGAAAATGAAACGTTTAAAGCTACATCAACAATTTCTTCATCAATTACTTCATGAAGTTATTTGTCAATTTATTGAACACTGCTGTTAACTTGATCAATTTCTTATTGTTTTTAAAGTCATTGTACAATTTCACCAACCTTTAATTATTTTAAGGTTAGGTTGTCTTTTTTTTTAATTGTGTAGAAAACAAATTTAAAAGTGTAAAAATGTTTCCCTCTGTCTTGAATAGAAGATTACGGAATAGAAAAAGAAAGATCGCGATATTATAGTTCATAAAAATGATGAAAACATCTTGATTTTATTATTTATGTTGGTAGCTGGTAGTTGGTACTACTGAATTGACATAAAAATTGGCATAAAAATAGAACTTACGCTAATCCGACAAGAAATTGATCAAGTTATTGCATCAAATTCTGTGATTACATTCGTAAAGTTTTCTTGTCAAAGCTTTAAAGCCAGGATCGTAACTCAATCTGGTGCAAAACTGTTCATTTAAACACAATTCAAATTTTTTCAATAATTGTTGAGATAAAGAGTGGCAACAGTGCCAGAGACAATTACCACGCTCGCAGGAGGTCGATCGAAATAGGTTAAATAAAATGTTAATTACTTTGTAATGTCAATAATCCAAATCATAAACTGTGATTTCCAATAAACAAAACGCAAAATTACAAACAACAGAACAAACCAATGTCACTTTGAAAATCTATTTTCTTGCATTAAAATCCACCAACTAACTTTTTTCTTTTCTAACCGGAAACCGGCATAAACACGACGGGTGCGAAAAGGTCAAAAGCCGCAGGCGAACGGCAAAACGCAATTCTTCACAATTCTTATCTAAGGGCGTAACACCTACACCACATCTGTATACAAAATTAATTATCTTTTAGTGATTAGCGCAACTCTTATCTACGAAAGGAGACAAACATGAGATAAACTTATTCGATATAACGCAAATCATTTTGAGATGTTCCTTATCTTATAACACGTAATTTCTAATAATTAAATAAACAAATTACAAATTACTGCGACGAACTTCGGTAGTAAATCCGCGCACAAATGGCATGAAAAATTAAAATCAACATTAGTGGGATAATAATTACAATTTAATTTAAAAGAAAAATAAATAAATTTACAAATTACAGTAAGTAAATCATGTGAGCGGGCGAAAGTAGCGGCAGGCGGCGGTAACCTGGGTGTTCTGTCGGTGGAACGAACGGACAGACGCACTCGAACGCCACCAAGGGTACAGTCTCCGGTCAAGGTCGGCAGTAGCAGCAGTTTGGCAGAAAAACTAAAACAAAATTGCGACAAACTCCCTGAGAGCAACAAAACACAAATTAATTAGCAGTGTCTAGGGGATAGCAAACGCAGGAAAGCGATGGATGTTCTTCTTTCTTTTTTGTTTCTTCTTATATAACTTTTTAAATCAAAATTTTAACTAATTTGGCGATTTCCAAATGCCCCACGTTGGGCGCCAAAATTCAAATGCTGTGTGTAACATCAAACGGTTACTAAGCTACCCACAAAACACCTCAGTTAAATAAAGTCACTCACAAAAGCAATGAACATAACACTCTCCAGTGTCGTAACTTGGGCTTAAACTCAGGATTGCTGTAATAAAAAATGGAAATAGTGGCCAACTAACAATAACACTTAACTCGAACTTGAGTACAGTACATACTAGAGAACTGTTAATTAGATCATGGAAGAGATTCTTCTATGTTTGTGTAGAATGATTTTTGCTTGAAATTATGAGAGCTTCAAGGGAAAGTGAATTTGTGCTCAAGCCCCCTATAGCATTTTTACGGAACCATCTAAATCCAAAACAACTCTCGTGTTTACATTAGCTGTGTAACAGTTATTCTTTTAGCAACGGACATTTAACCCTTACAATTTTGACTGCATTAATTTTAATTTCCAGAGACGACAGTGCGGAAAACACAGATGTAACCAACAATGCTGCATTGAATTTGAGCACATTTGTCCGCTACCATGTAATCGTCTGTTGTCTTGTGGCCAACACAACTGTGCGGAGCCATGTCATATTGGACGCTGTCCACCTTGCTGGCGTACAAGTTTTGACGAGTTGTATTGCGAGTGTGGCGCTAGTGTACTATTTCCTCCAGTGGCGTGCGGAACACGACCTCCACCGTGTCACCAAGTGTGTTCACGTCCCAGATCTTGCGAGCACGAGGCTCATCACACTTGCCACCCGGGACCTTGCCCCCCGTGTGTTGTATTAACGACACGTTGGTGTTACGGCAAGCACGAACAGAGATCAACAATTCCATGTCACCAAAAAGACTTCTCGTGCGGATTACCTTGTGGGAAGGATATGCGTTGCGGAAAGCACAAGTGCATACAAACGTGTCACAAGCGCGCTTGCCCTCAGGAATGTAATCAGGCTTGTGCTGAACCGCGCAATTTATGTGGTCATCCCTGCAACGCACCTTGTCATCAACCACCTTGTCCGGAAGCTCCCTGTAAGCAACAGGTGCAAGTTACCTGCCCGTGTGGTTTACGTAAAAGCACCCGTATCTGCATGGACCTTTCGGCAGAATACCAGAACATGGCAATGTCTCAACTGGCATCAAAAATTGAACAAATTCAAATGGGCAACACAGTTGATGTCACCGATCTGGCCAACAGCCAAAAAAGAACTTCTTTCAAATTGTAAGTTATGGCCATAGTGGCAATACTTTATAGTTGAGCAATCTTAATCCAGTTGAGATGACAGTACACTGGTGTAGGATAACAGTGTTGCCAATCCTACTAACATTTTGTTTTCATGACGACTGCACAATGCAAGGGTACACTGTTATATTGAATCTGTTCAACTATAAAACATTGAAAGTGTAATGCTGTTAGGAATCTAATTAGCAATTTGCAGGTTGGATTGCAACGAGGACTGTCGTTTGGTGGAACGAAATCGTCGATTGGCAATCGGTTTGCAAATACGCAACCCAGACCTAAGTGCCAAACTAATGCCTCGTTACTCGGATTACATGCGGGGCTGGGCGAAGAAGGACACGAAATTTTGCCAGTATGTGCACGAGAAACTCACCGAACTGGTACAACTGGCCAAGCAGAGCAAACAGAAGAGTAGGGCGCACTCATTCGAAACGATGAATCGTGAGAAGCGCCACTTTGTGCACGAGTATTGCGAACATTTCGGCTGCGATAGCGCCGCTTATGATCCTGAACCGAATCGCAATGTGGTCGCGACTGCGTACAAAGATAAGTCTTGGCTTCCGAGTTATAGCTTGCTAGAAGTGATCCAAAGAGAAAATGGGCAAAGAAAGGTACCCGGACCGCAGCAACTAGGAAAAGTATCCACGTCGAAAACTGAAACGGTCTCGTTTAAACTACCAGGACACGTACCGAGACCGGCAACTCCACCAGGAGAATATGTCGATTATTTTAACAATCCTCCGATATAGTATTTTAATTATTTTATATTTACCTAACCACATTTTTCAATAGAGTGTATTTTATAATGGGCTTACAAAATTGTATTTGGCGCTTATGTTTATCAGCGAGGGAATAATTTTTATCCGAAAAATGATCATTATAATTTTTTGTTGTAAACTGTCTAGTTAATGTTAAAAACTTCCACATTCCTTAGGACAGAAAGAATAGTTATTTGTTTCGCTACTACAATAGAGAAATTTTAGTTTATTTCTATATTCACAATGAGAATCAATAAATCATAATTAATTAGATTTTGGATTGCAAGTGTTTTGTGCTAGAACAGTGATTAGCGCTGTTTGAGACACATTAACCAAACTAGTGAGTACTTCAAACCCAAAATTGCCATACATTTCCCAATAGATCGTAAATTTTGGAACCTTTGACTATGCCCGAATTATAATACCGCCAGCACTATACAGGTTAAAATTTATTCATTAAGTCAAGTTAGGTTAAGTATAGAGAACGAGTAAAAATGTCAATACAGTGGTTGGGACTTTCAACTCACTTATACAATGTGGGTAGTGTAACAGGCTTGGTAGATTGAAAAGGGTCGAAGAACTTGCATAAAACAAAATTGTACCTCTATGTCACTGGCAAAAAAATGTTAATGACAATTTTTATTTACCCATGGCTAGCTCGGTAATAAAAATGTTTTCAAACCTCTTACCTTGCGGATTTGGACCCTTTATCTCCCCTAAAAACCTGAAATTTAAAATCTAATGCTCTGGATTGATTGAAATCTAATAAATACGCATATGACTTTAGTTCACTGAAATATAGTAATAAAAACAAAGGCGATCAATTTCCGTTTTTCTTCACACGTTCCTGGATATAAAATATTGGTTTGATTTATAAAAAGGAATACAAACAAAATGCAATGGCTATCTCGTTCCCAAAAGGCAGCATTCGGTTGTTTTTATTTCAAAAAACAAATGAGTACAAAAATTTTAAATGGCAATGTTCCTTTTCATTGGGCTCATTTGATTTATTTCTTTTTTTTAAAGGACCTTAAAGTAGGGAAAGCAACAGGAGCAGATGCAGCATCGGCAGGATTAATAAAAGATTTTGGAACAAAAGGGCAGATGCCAGATGACTTTCAAAAAGGTAGGCTGATAATAGTGGTGCCCGAAGAAAGTAGGCTCTGAAATGCGAACATTTCAGAGCAATTAGCTTACTGACGCACGTGCGTCGATAATTCTATCCAAATAATCTATAAGAGAATAGAGGAAAAGATAGAAGGGAGGTTAGCGGATTGACCAATTTGGATTTAGCAAAAATATTGGCACGTGCGAAGCTATATTAATGCTTAGAAGAATGTTAGAGGAATCGTTAGGAGGCATTCGATAGGGTCAATTGGAACAATTTATTTATGATAATGAAAGAGGCAGAGATAGTACCTATATCAAAATAAGAGGGTAATTTACAACCCATATAAGGAACAGAGAGATGATTAACTGAGGTGTGGAGGTGGAGGTCGAGGGGCGTTAGACAGGGCTGCGCTTTGCCGTCGCAATATTCAACCTTTACATAGGAGGTAATCAGGATTATAACTTAGGGGTTAAAATGCAGGGTGAAACAATACATATGCGGATGATACACTGAACCAATATAATTTCTGTGGGATAACATAGTAATTCTAACAGAAAGGGAGAGGGATCTAGAAACTGGATTAAACAGTATACAGGGTGTTTTTTTGGGAGCTTTAGTTAATCGTTTCTAGGAAAGTAAAATACGTAGGTTTTTGAAAATTTGTACTTAGGAGTTACTCTGAAGGCCGAATCGATGTAAAATATTTTCAAAATGGCCGCACTTCCGGAAACACCAGAAGTAGATAGTAACTTCGTTATTTTAAATGGCAACCCCTATTTTTTATTGCTTTTTTGGATTCTACGTGAAATTTCACTTCTTTTGATACCCATATGTCAATATCTACCATTTATGGTTTTTAAGTTATTTTGACTTTAAGAAAAAAAATGGCGGATGCAGATAGTACCTTGATAATTGATTACTTGAAAACGGTTGTAGTCATGGCAACCTATTTTTATCAGTGCATAGAGAATGAATAGGGCTTTCTTTTAGTGCACTTAAAAAAAAGTTAAGTTGCGTACAACCGCACCTATGGAGATCCAAATTTAAGAAACTTCAAAGTCTATAAACTCAGTTTTTTAAATGGAATGACCATGTTCTTAATATTGCATGAGATAGAGAATCGAAATTGGCATATTTTGATATTACATGTTCCTATACCTATCTTTAACAGTTTCTGATTTATTCCCATTTCATTGAATTGATCTCGGAATTGATGCCATTTTTTTCGCATTTTCTTTTTAGTAGTTGGCCATGATTTTATAACAGTCGAATTTTAAACAAATCAAGGAATGGATTCTTTAATACCATTGATTCTAGTTCTAGTCTAAATAATTAATTAATAAATAACTCATTTATTAAGGATATAGGACGGAAAATTTTTGAAAAATCTAAACAGAGTCGTTCAACTGAATTTCTTAAACAACGTATAAGTCTGGAAATTAAGAGACGTAATGCGATATCGGTTCTAGCAACAATTCCATACCAAAAATGTTTCAACGAAGTTTTTTATATTTTGCATTGAATTTATTTTGTTAATCTTGCACTTGCAATTCAATTCATTTTCTTAAATATTCTCTTGTAGAGCTTTGTATCACTTGTGATTCAACGGTTTGTAGTGCATTTCCAAAATTCATACAATTTCGTTCCAGTGTTCGAATGAATGTACGGCAAGCACGTGGCGCGATTCTGTCTATTTCACCATAAATAACAATTAAATTCCAAAATAGGTCATTTTTCGATTTTTGAAAAACTTATGTTAACCTATAACAGTAGGTGACGGATTGATGTCACTAGATTTGTTTAAAATTCGATTTTTATAAACTCATGGCCGACTACTAAAAAGAAAATCCGAAAAAAATAGTGTCAATTCAATAAAATGGGAATACGTCAGAAACTGTTAAAGATAGCTATAGGAACATGTATTGTCATTGAATACAACCGTTTTCAAGTAATCAATTATCAAGGTACCATCTGCATCCGCCATTTTTTTTTAAAGTCAAAATAACTTAAAAACCATAAATGGTAGATATCGACATATGGGTATCAAAAGAAGTGAAATTTCACGTAGAATCCAAAAATGCAATAAAAAAATAGGGGTTGCCATTTAAAATAACGAAGTTACTATCTACTTCCGGTGTTTCCGGAAGTGCGGCCATTTTGAAAATATTTTACATCGATTCGGCCTTCAGCGTAACTCCTAAGTACAAATTTTCAAAAACCTACCTATTTTACTTTCCCAGAAACGTTTAACTAAAGCTCCCAAAAAAACACCCTGTAGAGTGAATAGACTACAGCATGGAAATCAACAAGGAAAAAACAAAAGTAATACCATGCACTAAAAGATAGGACCATTGTTTAAATACTTTATAAACAATGATAGGACACAACATAATCTTGATAGGAACTGCATTGTAAGAAGAATAGCAAAATTACCGTTTGGATTTGATTTACTCTCTTACTTCTCTTGCTAACTCAATTCCCCTGTGATAAATGGAATATAACCAAATAACAACAGATTTTGTGCGATGATTAGTAAACGTCTGTCACAGGAATTTTCCCTCTACATAGGTTAGATACAGAGTATAAATGTACATCATAGGTCTGTTGAGTCGTCCCAATCTATTTTTAAGGGATTTTTTCGAATTGTTGACAACACAAATAAATAAAAGTTTATTCATAATTAATATTGGAGAGAAAATAATAGGGTGCTAGCACATTGTTTTACAAAAAAATAGATTTCACTGCTCAACAATACGTTTATGCTCTACTTCTAACCTATGTAAAGAAAAAATTGAAGTGAGAGGCGTTTATTAATCATCACACAAAATCTGTCGTTACCTCTCTGTCTGTAACTTCCCACACTGCATTCAATGCTTCAAGTCACTTTATAGCATCGTCATAGGTGTAGGAAAAATGGCTTCAAAATTGATATTCCATTTTGTCAAATTGTGGATTCTAGACCTAAATATGTGAAAGTAATTACACAACAGGGTGAAATATTTAACAATTTATATTTTTATAAATGCTCTATATACACATGGGAAACTTACATAATAATTCATGAGTAAGTATATTGCTAAATCACAATCTTTTTTATGTTACTTTTCACGCAGCTAATCTCACTAACAATCTTTTAAATAAATGCTTATACAATACAAGGCGTCTCGCAGTTATTGTAAACATTGTAGTAAAATAATCCAAAAATCTTTTTTTTTAATTGAAGAGTAATACAAACATTGTACATAAAAGAAGAGGTAATAGCACTGTAGAGTAACACACTTTTTTTTAAAAACAACATTTTCATATTGCACAATAGAACATACGTTAACAACAAACTTTAATTTTATACAAAAATAAGATTATATTTTTGAGATTATTTTTTCTTTATTGTAACAAATTTGACATGGAAGCTAACTCACTGATAAAACCTTTTAATATATAAATATGTGTATAATATATATAAAAAAAAATAAATTTGCAGTGAGAAAGTTTACAGCTTAATATACTATTACACAGAAATTTTCATCAGTCCAGCTTGATTATTAGTCCCTAAACTGGTCTCGTCGATAGAGTCCAAGTCTAATGCACTTTCGATCATCGTAGTGTCTTGCAGTAAACGCAAACGGCTAGCACTTAGTAAACTATTTTCTTTGTCGTGTAAAGTCAAATCATTGTCCAAATTGAGATCAGCCGAACTTTTATTATTAACATTTGGCAATATGTGAGAGTCACGTACGATGATGGGATCTAGGTGGAGATCTTCGACGTGCGGTTGTGTTTTAACGCGAGGCGTTTCTAAGTCGCGGTCGATTTCCGGGTTTAGGTTTTGAGCGTAACTTTGCGACTTGGTAAGCGACGTCTGCGATGAGGATATGTTGCTGTACACGTGAGAGTGATTGAGGTTAGGTTGAGACGAGTAGTGGGGCGTTTCGTTTTTATTCACGACTGCGAGCGGTACTTCGTTGCTTACCAGTTTCGTAATGCTACCCGCGTTACTATCTGCAAACAGAACAATTTCTTAGCAAACCAGTTGGACGGTAGACAAATTGGTTAGTAGATTGACGGAAAGGTGCGACGGTTATTCCGACAACCTGGCTCGGCTATTCTAATGTGAGAGAACTTCATCGTACTTTACGCTTGATTGGCGCATTCCTTAACTGTACGTTCAAGCAATAATTGTGTGCGTGTTTTTTTTGCATGTTTGTAAGCCAAACGTACTCATGAAATAAGTTAGCTAGAATGAATGTCAGGCACTGAAATAAATAGAGCCGTAAAATGTAAATAATGGTAAGCGAAATCGTATACAAAAACCATAGTAATCGCATGCAGAAACCAAAAACTTACCCACAAAACACTCGAATAATCTCCCTCAACGAAATGCAATGTAAGTAGAAATAAAACATATGTACGCACGCAATACAACTACGTAACTAATTAAATGCATATAAATTAATACAGTAACTTAAAAAACTATAATAGAAAATCACGCAAACACTAGAGAAAATCTTAATCTGTATGGCAGCAGTAGACATAGTTAACAAGTGTAACATGACAGCAATAAACAAAATTTAAATAAATAAACAACTAATAGTAATGAAGTGTAGCATGCATTGTTGAATAAATTTGCCTCGGTGCCTGCATTACACAAGCTTGAATTACATGTTCTGTGCTAATGTCTCTGCCCAGGTTTTCAGACAGTTATCGTTTTACTCATCTATAATCATTTTAAATCTTTCATTTGTTGTTATTTCCTGTTTGTATCCTATATTGTATTGTAGAAAATTCATGTTTGCTAATAGCACAGATGTAAAATTTATCATTGCACTTACACTGAAATACAGAAACCGGAATCTAAAATTCACAATGTATTTTGCAGATCAAATTTTGGTTAGCAAAATAGTTCTTGGATAGCGAAAATGAGCAAACGCATTAGTTCTATTTCGCACTTCATGGATTTGAATTTTAACCAAAACCGCTAGGTGTGCACCAATTTAATTAGAAAAACAAATTCGATCCTGAAGAGGTAAAATTTCCATTGTTTAATTATTCAGGTTTAAAAATTTCATAGATAAGATGCTTCTTTATTACCGAATTTGTTATGCGCATTATTGTTTTGCAAGCATACTTGTAGTTTGAAGATTGGTCCTTTGGGTCTGAAAGTGTCACCTGTCTACTAGTGACTCATGACTTATTTCGCATGTAGTTAGTTGAAAATGTCGCAAATAAAAAAAAATAAAAACGATTTAAGTAGAATCTGGAGAAGACATGGCGCAGCCAATAGACCATTTGACCACCGTATGGCCACACTGTTAGTATAAAGCCACTGTACTCATATACCCAAATGTGTTACTCATGAAATGCACAAGGTTTAGGTTCTGTTGTTTGTGTATATCTGTAATAATACATGAAAAATATTCGATTTTTATCATTTATGGTTAGCATTAATCAAATCATTAAGGTCACGAAATTAGATTTTTTGAAAAAGTTACTTATCAGATTAGTTTATGAACTGGGTCAGATATTGCCATCCGTTTAATTCCGATAAAGTGGGATGGATTATTCCAATCGCTTTAAATTCAATGGAAATGATTAAAAAGACAGCAACAGTACAGGGAGGGTTGCAAAATACCTACATGCACACACTTTTTGACACTTGCCTTCTATTAGAACTGCTGTCATGATGAATGAAAAATAAATACAATAAATTGTTAAGATACAAATGAGATCATCTAATCTCTTCTAAAACTGCACCAATTGGTTGTACGTCACAGTTTTTTAAAAACTAAACTAAACATTTATTTCTTATTTACGAATTCCGGTTTACTGTCTTTTCTTACCACCAAAATGTCTAGATACTCTCGCAGGAGGACTATTCTCTTGAAATTTACTCTCACATCCTCTTCTATTTGTGCATAATTCCTATTTGGATCACATTTTATGCATGTATAATAATTTGCTGATGGGAATTTCAACGTCAGTTTTTGCTGGTTATTGGAGATAGCTTTATTTGCTTCTATTAGAAGGCCTACTATTTAGAAAAATCCCTCAATAAATAAACAATTGGTTCAGTATTCATGTTTTTAGCGAAAAAATAGAACTTTGCCATTGCCACACTTCATTCCCTACAATGTACCACAAGGCATCTGATCCAGAACATAATTTTGTTGGATCTCAGTTTTGTACCACATTAATCACAATTTTCCTGAATATAAAGCGGACTAAAAGCGGGAGTTGGAAAATTGTCGACTTTAATATTAGTAAAATTAACATTTTTGTCGACCTTAACCTTGCTCATGTTACACTCATTATTCGAACATAGGTCGTCTTGTGCGGCGTGTAAATTTTCGTAAACGTAACTGTTCGGTCTCGGTTTTCTGTTTTTACGTTCCGGCGCTCGCACGCCGAAATTCGCACTGTAACGCTTTTCTGGAGGCGTGCGCGGTCCCGTAGTCGGCTGGTCGAATCGCAACGGACTACTCGAGGAAGAGTCCGAGTTTTTGTACAAGTTCTCGCGGGAACTGTCGTAGATGGCGTAATTTTTTAAGCGCGGCAGAGAGGAGCTGCTTTTTATTAAACTATTACCGGCGTCTGACGGTAATTCGTAAGGAAGTAAGTGGGATTGCGTTGGAGTGATCTTTTTTGTGGCACAATTCGTGGACGGTACAATGTAATGTGTACGATATACTGGCTTTTGAAGTGGACGGTACGTACCTAGATTTTCTACGGTCTGTCGATATAGCACTGGAACTTCAGTTGAGGCGTTCATTTGAGCTTGACCATTTTGCTGCGAACAAAAGTACAATATTATCCCCAATTTCATGCATTTGAAAACTTCAAATTGACACACCCTGTATACAAAGATTGTCTAGGAAGCAAAACTATTCCAGATTTATTATACGAAACCCAAAGTACAAAGTGTGTCTTTAGAACATCTACAAATTCGTTTTCTACATTGAAGTGAACCAGTGGCAAGCCGCTTCCTACGCCAAATCTTATGAACTAGGTACCTAAGACTAAGCAATTGATACCAGAGTAAGCTTTGAGTAAATGAAACTGTTCAGGAAGTTTCCACAAGTGTACATCCCTGCACTAGCTTCGGCCAATTCTAACCAATTAACACTTACAGCAGAAGACAAGACAAAATTTAAAAATTCCTACAGTAGGAAATTTGAAAAAATGCTGAAAAAAGCCTCAATAAATCAGAATAATAATGTATATTGACTGACTATCTCAATATCATCCTAAAGTGTAGACCTACTTACCTGTAAGTTAGTTCCATACGACTTTAATAAGGCTGGATCTGTAGTAATTACCGCGTTGCTTAACTCTAATCTATATTCATCTGTGACAACTCCTCTCCTGCAATTCAGTCGAATAAAACTCTGCAAACATAAGCCATACTTGCCTATCAATTAATGACGGAGTGAAAGGTCCGCAGAGTATATGAAAACAATTTAAACACACATTTCCCTGAGAATACGGATTAAAGCTTTCCTGACCGCGCTTACTTGTAAAGGAACCTTTAATCTGCAACTCACAAATTAAAAAAAAAAGAATAATAGGCGACGAAAAGCTCACATCTTCGTTTGTGGTTTGGTTGCTAGTTGTGAGATACGTATGAAAACCTGCTAGACCTAAAATACTCCACACACTGAAGAAACATATTACAGCTACGATTACGCTAGCCGGCGAGTCTTTTACTGCGTCCAGAAATTGACGATCTTCTCTTGTTACTGTTTATGTAAAAAATATAGTCACATAATTCCCATTGTGGTACTATACCTACTGAGTATGATATGTGCGACGGCACACGCAAAAATGAAGACTGCTAAAAAGGCCAATGACACTATGAACATATAAAAAAACCTATAATTCCGTCGTCCGACGCAATTACCCACCTAAAATAGAAAAAGGATAAGTAGATCTAAAATTAAAAATCCATCAAGTATGCAATAGATAGATACCGTCATATTGTACATATAACTTTTTTTACAGAATATGTCGACAGTATTACAGGCGTGATATTAGAAGAAGTGTTTATTGTATCATGTGACTGTTCCTAATCTACTCTAATTTAAATTAATATTACAGTTGAGCTGCAATGGTTTTTTACACTTTTCGTCTGGCGGTCTGCCTGGCTTGGTTTACACGATAATTTTCTTTAATTCTGTTAAAATTCAATACCATAAATGTTCTATAAGTGTCCGGCATTTTGTTTCAATATAGCGGAAATGGCAGATTCACGAACTTGACCGAGATATTTATAAGTTACACCAACCCTTAAACTTTGGTCGAAATCAGTTCCTAATTACGAAAGTTAGAGTGTTTGGAAGTGATGTATATAAACCCATAAATCTTAAAACCTATAAATATGTATACTGGTACCATTACAATAGGTAGACGCAATCTACCTAAAAGGCAGGTCTCATTTAATAAAAAATAACAAAAAAAGGGCAAGTTCCATTGCAAAAAAAATAACACAAAAGGGGCAGGTCCCATTTCAAAAAATGGGACATTTTTTCAAACTTTCTTTGAACTTTAAATTCTTTAAATTCAAAAACAATTTATTTTAAATCTTTTTTTTTATTTATTCGAAAACACGTAATGATCCCATTTCACCAAAAAAAAAATGAAAATAGGCGATTCCTCCAAAAGAGCAGAGGATATATCCCACTCATCCCAATTAAACCCGTTTAAAAAAAAAGACAATAATTACATTAAAAAATTAATATTAAAATACAAAAAAATCGCTGTTTGCAATTTCAAATTAGCTGTAACTAGCAGTTCAATATAATTTGAAATGTAAGTTCACTTAATGATGCAATACTTATAAAATTATTTATTTATAATTAGCGTTTCAGACATATAAGATCAAGAAGTTCAATTTTAAATTGCGACAATACCTTCTTAACCTTCAAAGTGTGAATCATTAGATATCTACACTTGAGTTTTATCGGACAAACTTATATGGCTCAGATATTTACACTGTTCAGAGGATGAGGCGTCGTAGGTTAAGTAGAGTAGGCTAATGTGACTAGATTTCTTTGCAATCCCCGTTAAATTATATTTTTCAAATTTACACAAATCATGTTTGGGTATGATATCTTTATGTTTAAAGTACAGGGGGCGAAATCGCCCGAACCTGGCATAGTCAATGTCTGAACTCAACTAGCCTAAGCGGACCAACATTTTATGGAGGGGTAAAAAATAAGATTGTTAATAACGTTGCTTTTGTTGCTTAATATACATATTCAACCAGATACAAAAATCCACAGAATTAAGCGGACATATTGTACTTTATCAGAGACACTCTTTAAAACGAGCTTTAAAATGTCCAATATTTCCATAAGTATTCATTTTGAAAAATTGTAGTGCATCTTATGATTATTTTATTTATAACACTAGGTAGCATTTCCAAAAAAACAAACTCATTTTTTTTAAAATGTTATAATTGTTAACAAATATGGCATGTTTCAGTTAATTGTCTAGAAAGGAAGAGAAGGGGAGACGTTCTTGTGATCGCACCTCCTCATTTTTCTTAAAATTTCGAAAAATGCAGTTCACAGGCAGAGGTCATCAACAAAAGGTTGAGCCGTATTTGAACTATCTACAAATAGGCTTTTGTACACCTTAATAATTATCTTTGTGATAAGTGTCTAGTGGAACTTTACAATAGTGACTCACCTAAACAAAACCTTACTGTTCATTTAGAGATAAATAACAGTAGATTCATTAGCATATAATTATCCAAAACCTAACTGTGTAAATTGTTAATTATAGAGTTAAAAATACATACCCACGGACAGTGATGATCGAAACGGTCCACACAATTATCACACAAACTACAATGCGACGCTCTGGGAGGTCGAAATATTTTACACGTGAAGCAATATTTTAATTTGACCGTCTGACCTTTAATTAGGACTTCTTTCGTACGTGGAGGCGGTCTATATGTCGGACTGTTGGCTGAATTAGTCACTTCTAAATAATAATCTTACAGTAATGTTAGATATAATCGCGCATAACTAATTTCTATCTATTACCTATTTGTTTCTCGACGTACGCGGCCTCTTCGGGCGTAGCCCTAGGTATAATGCCCGGATCTGAGAGAGCCGTCCGTAATAGAGCGCTCATCGTGAATAGGAATAGGACGACGCCGATTATCGGTATCGCCACCGTGACATTTTCAGCTAAATATCGGCAACTGAAATGAGACATATGTACATAATGACTCCATTCGAGTGTAATTCAAGGGGGAAACCACTCACTACAAATCTGTACATGCATAAAACAATTTTAGTATTTACTCCCCGCCACCAAATTGCGAGACATCATTCTAAAGGCCATAAAATTCTCTTTAGAAAAATATTCCCAAATTTGCATTTGGATGCTTTCACTATAAATCAATTTAAAAAACCAAGCTAAATACAAAATAGATTAATTTTATACATTTCCCGTTTTTATTGTTTGTTATCTCTTGAAAACATCGACAATTATATCCATCAATATCCTGAAAAAGTGAATGAATAGCGGACATAAGTTTCTCCTTTCTCTTCCATACATGAATTGGGAGAAGGTGAGAATTAACTTTTGCAAATTAATACCCCATACAATTGTTGAAGACTGAGATAACAAACATTTAATTTTCGCAGGGCCAATATTTCAAGAGAGAAATTCAACAGGGGAATGTATCGCAAGAGGTGATAGACCTTTAAATCACACAATCTTTGCAGTCAAGTGAATGACAACGTTGCACTTTCAGCAAGATGGGGCTACCCCTCATATGCTCTAGCTGTTAAGCAGTAGCTAGATCGAAAAAACAAAAAATATGTCAAATGTTCTGCATGCAAAGAAGAACTAAAGTGAAGATGATGACGAGAAGTGATGATCGAGGTAATTTTTTCGATTCGATATATAGCATAATAATTAAAAGGTAAGGTTAAGATACACCTATTTCCATGAGTGGTTTCCCCCACCAAGTATAACTTACTCGAATGTAAAAAATAGTAAGCTAGTTCCCGTAATGAGACAAATAGTAAGTATAAATACACCACAGTGCGGGGCCGTCATTAATCTACCATTGCAATAAAATCGATTTCGGCCTGCGAATATCTCCCATTTACGTGTAGTGTGTTTAGACGAGTCCAAAGCCATATCTCCAGGTAACGTATCTGAAAAATTACATTGTCAACGTTGCGACGAAGAAAGGGAACATACCTTCTGAACGAGACGAATCTAGAGCCACAGGTTGGTACTTACAGTCTGTTGTCATAAATGGTACAGTATTGGAAACATTCAATTTGTATAATTAGGATAATCTACCTTGAATTTATTTATTCTATAATTATAAGTATTGGAGGTTTATGTGACTAGGTATGATCAACAGCGTCCGTTGTGATGTAGTTTTCGTTATATACAATGAATCTACGCATTTTTAAACATAATTATTTAATAATTTATTTTTAATAAAAATGTACACAAAATAGGGGTGCTCTCAATACTAAACTTTTGACTACTGAAATTTGACAGTTGACAGCACGAGGAACAAAACCACAGAATATACAGGGTGTTCCTAAATATGATGTAAATACGGAAAGGGCTAATTCTTTGGCTTATGTTATGTCCAAAAGTTCATACAAACATAGATCTACAAACGCTTCGTTACTGATCTATATGGTGTTAAAATTTCAAGTTTTTTCTTGATATCCCTTGCAGTTTTTGAGATATTTCGCCCAAATTTGAGATAGGTATAAATGAAGGGCTTACATCGTTACATGGTAGTGAGAATTTACAGTTATTTTTTCAGGGGCAATGTTCTTCTTTCTACCCTTGACCTTTTTTTCGATTCGGCACTGGTAGATTGTGAAACAAGAATTTATAATCTAATCACTTGACAGCTCAGCAATAATAATGAATAAGTTAGTATAACTAGTAAATGAACACGCCTAATGAATAAAAAAATTAGTGAGCACAATCACAGTATAGATAAACTATATGTATGTGGTGTACAATTATTTATACAGTAAAAAAAGTAAAACAGATTTATTGACTGTGAGCTGTTATACTATCTTTGGTATAAAAAATTATCATAAATCATTTTTTAGTTAAGTGGGTCAACTCGTAACACTATTTCCAGATATAATGTATGTCGTTCTCACAATGTGTACATTTAAGAAAAAGTCCCTGGATTGGATAATGACCATGCCGAAAAACAGGCATAGTTGTTACTATTAATGAAGCGCAAAATCCTGAAATCATCAAAATTGCAGCCCATTTATGGCCGTATGCACCGAAAAATTTTAAGGTGCTGAGCTTAGCTTAAGCCTAGCTTCAAATCATTGGCAGCCATTGTCCCAATAATCGTTACCATGGATTTATTAACTACCCGCTTAAACTTTTTTGGTGCATACGGCCATTAGATTTTCGTCATGCTAATTCAATTAGTGTACTGCTTGTTTGAATGTTATACAAGGAACGCACGGTATATAAAGAGAAGGCGTGGTTTTAGACACTGTCTAATCTAATCTCAGATTAAATATAACCATAACCTAAAAAATGTCACAAGAAGATACCAAAAATTCAACAACGCACAGCAATGAAGGGGACAGAAATTTTAAAGTAAAAGGTGGATTAGTTTAATTCATTTATAACTTCATAATTCTATCAATTACAGCTGGAATTTTTTTGGTTGGTGTGACCGGAGTATCCGCACTGGTCGGTTTTGGGGCAACTCTGGCTTCGGTTCGAAAACAAGACACGAAACACTTCAGCAAGGGAATGGCGGGCGGTTTGGAAATGAGTGAACCGGCAGTATCGCTCGCACTTAGAGCGCTCGGTTGGGGTACATTTTACGCATTTACAGGCTGTGGTATTTTATGCTATTCGATTTGGAAGCTTTCAGGTGCCGAATCTGTGAGTTCTATGTTGTAATGATCGAGAGTTGTATGGGATTTTTTTAGTTGCACGATTTTCGGAATAAAATGGGTGCAATCTTACCGAGAATACCTAAGAATAATCCTCCACAAGGCCGCACTGAATTTACTGGAATGAATGACTTATTAGAATACTTAGCAAATTCCAAAAGTAATGACGGTGGAAAGTAGAGCACTTAATTGTAAATAAAATGTTTAGTTTAACACCCTTTTTATTACACTAAAGCATTGTAAGACATTGGGATACTATGTGTGTGACGGTTTCTATGTAACTGCTACAGCAGATACCATTTTCTACGATTTGCTGTTATAAGTATAATGAATGTCAAAGTTACAATGCAACAGCATCAAGATAAAACAAGAATAGTTGGTGGGTTTCTTGTACGTCAATAATTTCACCCACCAACTTCATTGTGTCTATGTCTACACAGTTTACAGAAATGCAGGGCTGATTTATCAATCAATATATCTAGGCAGTGCTCCCATTATATTGCAAACCTGCCTTGATTGGTTTTAAGGCGAGAGAAAATTAAATTGTGTGAGAGTGGTGTATTCTGCCCGATCCCTACAAATTTGATCATATTAAATATGTATCAATCAAGTTCATAACTAACAATATTGTCAGGGAATTTTTCTTAAATGTACACATATGGGTTCTGTATACTTTAAAAAAACCTGATCAAATGCATGGGAATAATGATACTAATATCACAGGCAACCAACATTACACGCGACAAACTGGGGCTGTTTTTACAGTTAATGTTAATATTTCAACCTTATCGCTTTTCCTATAGTTTAAAAAATCACAATTTGTCTCCAGGTGTCTCCCCGGCGTTTTGTTTCATTTGGTAGCTGAGATGAATTAGATAACTGTGGTTATTTTCTGTGGCTGTAGGACCTCTACCAGTTGGCCTCCGGATAACTGGCCCCTGCACGATTGGCCCCTAGGACAGTTAGCTCTCAGAAGTATCATTGTTCACGAATAAAATAACTTCTCACAAATATTTTTTTAATTATCGATAAATGGGTATAGGTACTAATAAATCATTACAAAAAAAATCCTAAATCATGCGCTATCGCTCTTAAAATTATAAAAGTATGTTTTCATAAACCAAAGTCTAAACAATAGACCGTATCTTCTCTTTGTAGGAGGTTGTTCTATCGCAATGATTATTGTCAAGATAATTATTCAGGAACTGTTCCTTTTTAAGGGAAAAATAAATTTCAAAATATTGAGAGATTTATCACGACTTCTGGTATTATTATACAGTGGGAGTGTAGAGTCTAGAACTATTACAATAAACCTTTTAGTAAAAGTTTTTGAAAAAATCCCCCCAGTACGTCAATTTTTATACTATGAGATCAATGTCTATTGTTTTTGAGACATGAGGTAGTGTAGTTTTTTATGCTGAATTTGGAGAGAGCATGAAATTCTAAACATGAGATAATTGCTGATAGGTTCCATTTGTTGGTTTTGATCATTGAATAAAAATTTTTATTCAATGTTTTGATGTAGTTCTTTGATTCATAAAATCATAACTCTCTCCGGGAAGTGAGCTTTACTAAAGTGGGTGAGATTATCTCACAAATTCCCTTCATTCACAGGAAAATGTAGTTTTCCTGTCAGCTTTCAACAATATTTATTTATGCATCAATCTCTTCGGGACACGGTAAAACGTGCTATCATTGTCATTCGTAGAAATTCAGCCACTACAAGCAGGTATAATAAATACCTACTTTATGTGGAATATTCGAATATTTATCTTCCTCAAATATTTGCAATGAACTATTTTTAGAATATTTGTACAAAAATACCACGCCACGTGGTATACAGGGTGGTGACTTGCGTAACGCATCATAGGGATTTCAATGTAAAATTCATAACATTATTGGCTCCCCAAATTATATTAGAGCAAAAATGTATTAAGGTTTTTTGTAGAAAACATTTTTTTACGTCAATTCAACCGTATTAGTTTTCAATTTTTTGCATAATAAAGACGGAAAATGGGAAAAATAAAACCCCCATCTTTTTCAATAATCTGTGATGCCATGGAATTTTATAATACAAATTTGCTCTAAAATAATTTGGGGAGCCAATAATCGCATGTTATGAATTTTACATTGAAATCCCTATGATGCGTTACGCAAGTCACCACCCTGTATACTTTCTTACAAATAGAAACGTAGCATTCACACAACGACCCACATAGTGGTATTCATCTAAAAATATGTGGTGGTCGTTCTACGACGTCCCAGTTGTATAATTGTAAGTACCTACTTATTACTCATTGGCTAATGATTACTATACCTACACAGATTAACTTAGGTATCTGTGTTCCGCTTTAATAAAAAATTATTTTATTCTCTGTTACCTACTACTTAATTGCATAAATGTGTCCTTACACTATGGCATTATACTTCACCTACTTTTATTAAGTTGACATTGGTCGTAGCTGAATGACAATGACCTATACGATCCCCCACTGGACCATGTAACTGTGACGTCATCGTGTTTGTTGTGGTACCTCCCTAATTAAAGTATTAATTGTAATCTCATTAAGAGGTTCCGCCCAGCTTTTGTTTCAAGTTGTGTTGGTCGAAGTCCTCGGCGATTTTTATCCACCTGAAAATTTCTTTGGTTGAATGAGCCAGTCTAGCTAGGTACATATATCATAATTTTATATGAGCATGACAATTTTTCATTTTGCGGACTAGTTACTTGATGGCAATTACGGAAAGTAGCAACTAAAATAATAGCAAAAAAAACTTTTTAAGTCCTCACATAATGGAGTTAGTTAATCGACTTGGACTTGGACAAAATTTCCACATGAGTGACCTTTTTTAGCGCATTTTTTAAGGTTATTAATGGAGGGAATGGTCCTAGTGTCCTGGAATTTTTTGCAGTAGACTGTAGATAGCCTCTATACCTTGAAGGTGTGCCAGACGGCCATCAAATTTCGCTGTCTAAAAGCCTGCATAAGAGTTGTGCACAATTTATACTTGTTATTTATACTTCTCTATAGAGGCTTCCTGAAGTAATACGTAAAAACTACAAAGTTCTCAAAATTTTTTATCAAATAAATAAGACTGAAAAAATCGTTATTTAGCAATAACTTTTAAATTTTTTCTGAAGAAGGGGAAATTTTGTATAGGGAATAGTTATCTTATTGTCAGGTAAATTACGTGTGTAAGAAACGAAATGTTGCAACGAATGAATCACATATTCAAGCTGCTGACTACTAAAAACCCACCTTCTTTATTTCTGTCGTGTTGATCTGTAGAGACCCTTGTTTTGAGTCGTCGAATGCCTGTATTGTGTTGATCCTTTTCGGTACTGTTGTTAAAATGCTCGTCTGTCCGCCCAGTCGAGGAGGTGGCCGTCGCTTGGGCGGACTCTTGTAGTTTCCCTGGTTCTGTGAAAAGGGTTTCCTTTGTAAGGTTGAGGTCTTCTTCTGTTTTAAATCCAAACCCGAGCGCTCCATAGCCTTGGCCTCCTTTATCCTATCAGATAAATTTTTACCAAATAAAAACTCATCGCTGCGGGCTTCCAGAATAACATCCTTCAGCTCTTTTCGAAAATTCAGGTTAAGCAAACTCTTCCTCGCTTCTGACTGTTGGCAATGGAGATCTGTTAGCAGTTGCAATTGGAACGTAAGACAGGTAGCGCGTGGGAAAATCATTATAACTTGCGATCTCTTAATCCCATTCCCGAAATTCAAAACAACACTTTGCACAAGAAAGTATCGCCTATGATATACATCTAATAATTATATACCTACCTCTACCTATAGTAAAACTCGCCTTCGGCATACCACAGGTGTTTAACGTAGGTAAGCGTTCCAGCAGCTATACCTGCCTTGAGAATAATATAAGTAGAGGAGCAGCTGTCTGTGTTGTCCGAATTTTATGTATGATCTGAGATTCGGTTCATATACTAATTGGTTGTTTTGAAAGAAGAAGCGAAATATTCCTTTGAACTAATTCGTGCCACTCTCAAAATTCGAACATCAGATCAGTCAGTCTTCCGTGTATCGTTGTTCAGATAACACCCAAATATAAACCTAGTTTTGAAGTACCTATTTTACTTCCTATTTTAGGCAAGTTTCGTGAACTGTATCTTCGATTTTCGATCAAATAACTACAGTTTTGACGAATGTTTTCCAATTCAAACCAGCAATAATTTCATTTTGGAACGTTTTGAACGTTTTTCTAGGAAACGCACGATGGTTTTATTATGGTCAGAATCTAATATTACCTTTAAGCCATTTCGTTTTTCAAACAATATAATTTTAGATTCTATTTCTGAAAGCTTTTGATAAATGATAATCTCAAGAAATTGAAAATTTTCAGAATTTATCAAAATACATAAATTTTCAAAATGGAACGTTATACGGTCTATTCAGTATATCTTCCGTTGCACGTCATTCCCTGAAGAAAACGACGTACCAACGTAAACTTACTTTCGTTTATTAGGCAACACATTAAGCATGTAGTTTATTTTAGCCGCAACAATTGGTAGCATTTCGCTATGTTGTCGCGTTTAAATTTGTAAATTTGACAGGTTGCTTTTGGTTTACTTTTCGTTTGATTTGATTTTGATTATTTTCTACGTCTTTCGCTGTGCATTGGTTTGAAGAGAAATTACTGAAGAATTTAGATAACCCGTTAGTAATTGTGTTCGATAACGGGAAAACAAACAACATTAAAGTGTGGTTAGGTGATCATAATGTGCAGTTCTCCGAAAATGATTTTACAGCCGAACTGTTGAAAAGGTTGCACAGTAAGTACGTTCGCAAATTATTTGATGTTATATAAATCTTGTTGATACTTTTAGGAATAAATCAGCTAAAATGTACCGCATAAGGCATTGACCACTTAGCCGAGCAATACGGTTACTTCGTTTTACGATTACCACCCTATCATCGTGTTTTTAATCCTATCGAACATATTTGGGGCATAGCGAAAAATTATTACAATCGACACATTGGTAGAGATGGACGAAGCATTGAAAATTGCATAAAGATGTGACAAGAATCACTACAATCGATAACTTCCGAAACGTGGCGCAATTCAGTTAAGGATACGGAAACTGTTAATACACGAGTGGTACGAAAGAGAAAAGCAATTAGATCTTGAAAACGTTGCTACTATTATTATAAACTTTGAACACGAAAGCAGTTCCGATGATTCCGATTAATTTGAATATCATCCATCACATCACATAACCTGTAAAATTTTATATTTAGTACCTACTTTCTCTGTAAAAGAGATGCTACATTTGTACAGTTCATAAGTTATTAAAGTATATTGTATGTATATTGTGGTTCCAATTAACGAAATTTAAGGTGTGGATTGTTCACACAAAGAATGCACTGTCTTGTTGACAAGTGACATAACCTAAATCGCTCAAAACTAGATTTGGCATTATTGCATAGTAATTACGTCATAGAATATGATGACGTGCAACGGAAGTTATACGGAATAAAAAGTGATTTCTTGCGAGGTAACTTACGTGTACCTGAGTATGTACCAGTATGCTGGAAGTTACCTATTACATCACCGTTAATGACGTAATTGGTTGTATGGAAGTAAGATCACCTGAAAATCGAAAGTTAGGCATAACATAACCTTGTTTTGTTTCTGTGTTTTTGTTGTAATTTTTACTTGTACCTATGTCGATATTAAGTAATAATAGTATGTGGATGAATGCATTATTAGAAGAGTTTTGTATAGATGATACTTTGACCACAAGTGTGCACATAGTAATGCATTTTCTATTAAAAGCCGTTCCTGAGTGGACCAAATTTATTGTATTGCAAAAGCAAAGGAAATGCCATTTTCGTATGCCACTTTGTTATGAGGAATGGATAACAAACTATCTTGATACCGATTTTTTTATTCATTTTCGAATGATAAAGTCAACATATTTCAAATTGACCACTGCAATTGGAAAAGAATTAACAGTAAAAAAATACAGAGGAGGGTTTGAAATAATACCTCTAGAGAAAGAAATCCTAATCACTCTCTGGTACCTTGCCAAAGGAGAAACGTTAGTGTCGATCAGTGATAGATTTAATGTTAGCGTGTCAAAAGCTTTCTATATTACCATGAAAATTATTAAAGTTATCTGCTCTCTTATGCCTATTTATATTAAGTGGCCTAATGCGGAAGATTGCGAACAAATTGCAAATGATTTTCAACAGCGTTGTAATTATCCAGGTAAGGACATTTTTAAACCGCACAGCAATCAGCGTAATATGTTGTTCCTAGATGTGATTGGTGCTATTGACGGTTGCCACATAACTTGTAAAATACCCAAGGAGCAGCATGACAGTTATCAGGATCGCAAGTTTTGCCATTCCATTACCCTTCAAGGAGTGTGTATTTCCTCCAGATTATTTACTAATATTTCTGTTGGTTATCCAGGATCTGTGCATGATGCACGAGTAAGATAGATAGTTTATGCAAACCTACAATCATGCTGTTAATAGTTTTGTAGATACTTAGAGAATCGGACTTGGGAAAAATCTGTGAAACTAACTGTTTCAATCTGTTTTACGGTAGATACCACTTGGTGGGAGATTCCGCATATCCATTAAGGTCATGGTTAATAACTCCGTATAGGTAGACACAAATACAAATAATTGCACATAGGTATTTATTGTTGTGGTTTAGGAACACTGGAATTATGCCGCTGCAACGGAAACACAACTACGCACATAGTGTGACACGGGTTGTAATCGAAAATACTTTCGGCAAGTTGAAAGGCCGTTGGAGGATTTTAAATTTTGTTAATGTATATACCATTGAAAAGGCTATTGATATTATAACCGCATGTTGTATACTGCATAATTTTTGCTTGTTAACTTGTGATATACAGGGTGATTCCTATAGTACCTGCCACCGTTTGGGAGCGTATAGGGGGTGCCTAGGGGAGTATTTTGATATAGGACACTTGGGGTCGGAAATCTAAAATAAGGGCGCCAGAACCAAATTTATCTTCTGGAATTTCACGCCTGTATGTAGGCAACCCAACCGACCGACGTTTCGCGCGGAGCGATGCAGAGCGAGTTAGCGCGAGGAAGCGACATGGGAGGGAAGGAGGGAAAACGACAGTCAAAAGCAATAACGTTTACAAGTGTTCAACGTGGCCACCGTTGTTCTCAATGCACTTCCTACATCTAGCCAACTATTATTATACTATTGCCATAGTGTTTATTCACTTGATACGCGTCGTTGCAGACGGGATTTCGTGGGTTTAAACAAAATTCTGATCAAGTGTCAGCCACACATCGCCGCCTGAGATCGCTCCGTGTGCACCGCCGGCCGGTTGGGTTGCCTACCTACAGGCGCGAAATTCCAGAAGGTAAATTTGGCTCTGGCACCCTTATTTTAGATTTCCGACCCCAAGTGTCCTATATCAAAATACTCCCCTACGCACCACCTACACGCTCCCAAACGGTGGCAGGTACTATAGGAATCACCCTGTATATGAAGTAGATGTCACATCAAGTGAACATGATAGTTGTGATACTTATATTGGCCGTAGAGATCGTGAAGGGACTAGAAAACGCGATTTGATATCACAAACTCTTTAATTCCTTTGTAAAAAAATTATAAATACTGATTTTGCTTGAATAGATATACATATAAAAATATAAACAATTTTTTAATCATCATCATCGCTATCACTAGAATGTCTTCTTCTTTTTCTTGTAGCTCTGCAATTTTCCCCCATATAGACATTTTTACAGTTTTTTTGTCCGCAAATAAAGTTTGAAATTTTGCAGAATTCCTTAGTTCCAACATGTATTCTGTAGCACGCCTATCAAGGTCGGTCGGTTTCCCTCTACTGCTCCAGATTTCTTGGTCGGTTTCAGCAGCTGCGACTGCGGTTTCAATAGTTTCAGGAGTTTCATCTGTAAACATTATGGTATAATTGAATTCATTCCGATAGCTTTAATATACTAAAAACTATAATTATTTTGCCTTAAGGGTCCCATATACGATACGATTGATCTGTAGAAACAGTGACATATCCTTTTAGATTGATCGTAACAACGGTTCACTCCTTATATGGAGTTTTGTAAGTATATTATAATGCTTATCGTAATGGATAAACGTCTACATACCAGAAATTCGAGAGATATCTATGTCGGCAATTGAAGTGCCTTTGCATACACCGAATTGTTCTAAAAATCCTTCCTCTATTGCCCTTGATATGTACTCTAGCACAAAATTGGCATCTACAAACAAAATGTGTTTATTTCTGTTAAGTATGTGTGGTTTTAGTATTATACGAACACATGCCTTTTGAGGTTCACTGATATAAGCAATTAACCTACCTGTTTTTAGTGCTGTTGCAACCACCCCACTATCCGAAAATGTTACAATTTCATTGTTAATTAAGAACTTCACCTCCACTAAAGTATCATCATCTTCTAGACTATTATCCATTATACCTATAAGTAATCTAGAATATAAAGTAACTATCAACCAAGAACTAATGTAAACTCACTACTCACATGTAAACATAAATAAAAGAACCAACCTCACAAATTGAGGTTAGAAAGTTAACTTTACTATTGCTTACTCCAGGTTGAAGGTAGGTAAGGGCATGTTACTTGGTTAGTGGTTACTCTAGCATACTACAGTATGACGTGACGTCATTAGTTACTCGCCAGAAATTGAAAGCGGTCTTACTGAAGGTTACTTTTCTCGCCAGAAATCGCCTAAAGTGTAGGTACCTAGTAGGTTATTAACTTTCCGCCATTTTGGCATAATATCAGCCAGGAAAATGATTCGCTCCATGTTATCGCTTCAGGTCAAATCAAAAATTATTTTCCTTTACTTTTTCTGAACACTTTCCATTGTCTTCCATGTCAGTGGTTAAACCAAATTTAGCGGCCTTCCAATTTTTTTTTTTGATTATAGCTAGCTCAGTACGAAAAACAATTGCAATTTGGGGGCACCTTTTGGACTATTCCTAGCAGTTTAAAAGTGCAAGTTTTTGTAGACATTGGACACAAAATTTTTTTTGTTCTCAAATTTACTTTCCAAACAATGTATCGCTATGCGCATATACATTCGCACACAATTAAATCGTCATTAAGCCATTCCAGTTTGCGATTAAATTTCCCCTTTGGACTTTTCTCAGTTTGTGTTGAAACTCATGAGATAAGATATATGCCATATACTTAGCGTCATTTGTCTTTCAGCTTTCACAACGGATGCTGACCTAATTCTTTTATAATGGCGATATCCATGAGATCAGTGCAGCGTGTTTTAAACAAGTTTCCAGTTACGGGCACCGTTAGACAGTTGTCTCACTACCCCGTAGATGATATAATATCTGGATTAGATGAAGATCAGATTCAAGTAAGTAGTTACAGTTTTCTGGACAAAGTATCAGCCGTACTCGTAGCTCAGGAAAACGATTTTTGACTTAGCGCAAAAGGAGTTGGCCCCAAATGCGTATAAAATTGATAAGGAAAATCGTTTCGATGGCATGAAAGACTTTTGGAAAAAAGCGGGAGACATTGGCGCTTTAGGTGAGATGAACCGATAGGTCATTGGGTCATGTTTGCATAACTTTGCATTTTTAGGCATAACGGCGGATCCGAAATATGGCGGAACCGGTGGCGGTTACCTTGATCATGTCGTTCTCGCGGAAGAAATATCTCGGGCAAGTGGCGGTGTTGGCCTATCGTACATAGCCCACTCAAATTTGTGCGTCAATCAAATAAACCGACACGGCACTGAAGAGCAAAAACAAAAGTATCTGCCAAAATTGTGCTCCGGTGAACACATTGGCGCTTTAGCAATGTCAGAAGCGGGATCAGGATCAGATGTAGTTTCAATGAAATTGCGAGCTGATAAGGACGGAGACCATTACGTTCTTAACGGTAGCAAATTTTGGATTACAAATGGGCCAGATGCAGACGTTGTGGTTGTATGTTCTTCAAGTAAATTTACAACAGCTGCCTTCAAAAAGGCCCATTTTAGGTTTACGCCAAAACTGACCTTAAGACTGAACAGCCTCAGCATGGCATATCTACATTTATAATCGAGAAAACATTTAAAGGGTTTTCGGCGGGACCAAAATTGGATAAATTGGGAATTAGAGGATCAAATACTTCCGAATTGATTTTTGATAATTGCCGGGTGCCTAAGGAAAATATGTTGGGACCAGAAAATAAAGGCGTTTACGTGTTGATGAGTGGTTTAGACTATGAAAGACTAATCTTATGTGGTGGACCATTAGGATTAATGCAAGCAAGCTGTGATGTGGCGTTCCAATATGCCCACGAAAGAAAACAATTTAATACAAGAATTGCAGAATTTCAAATGATACAAGTAAATACAACATCTTTTTTTCAAGACCTTGTCTAATGAACTACATATTTTAGAGCAAATTGGCCAATATGTATGCAACAACATCAGCTTGCAGAAGTTTCGTTTATAATGTTGCTAAAGCTTGTGATAGAAATCATGTTGGTAGGAAAGATTGCGCTGGAGCATTGTATTATTCGTCAGAACGAGCCACTCAGTTGGCTCTAGATGCCATTCAAATTTTGGGTAAGACTTATTGCGCAAGATAACTCCAAATATAGTGCCTGTGTTCTTCTGTAGGTGGAAACGGGTATATCAATGATTACCCCGCTGGTCGGATAATGAGGGATGCAAAATTGTATGAAATTGGAGGTGGAACGACAGAAGTACGAAAACTAGTAATTGCAAGGGAATTACACAGAGAGTACTCTTGATGGCATGATAATTGCAAAACGGAATTTTGTTCAGCTTTACTGTTTTATATGAAAGACTTTATTTTATTTAAATATATGGATAAACCATTGAATAAAAAGATTCTTTATTCAATGATCATACCTATTACCTATTTACAGTCTTCAAGGAGTAAATCACCCCAACAGACGCTTTTGACATCCTGTTTGTCACTTATAAACGTGGTAGGCCATCTTCTCATAGCCATATTAATCCGCTCGCTAGAACTCCTTTTTATTTCAGAAATATCGTCCAACCAGTATTAGGTATACTCGGTACTCCATTGGGTAGACTTTATTATCTTCAAGCTAATCCTCCTAATCTCATTTGGCTATTCCACGAACTAGGTTTCCGGGTATAATTTGTTCCCTTTCCTAAAAATGTTCTCATAAACTCGCGATGGCGAACCCCTAAAGGGGGATACGAAGACGAAATTTGGTATCCGGATACATTGAAAATGACAAAACCGAGTTTAGTTTTTTAAAACTATAGAGAATAAAATGCTGTAAAACCGTTCTGTTAATCCATCTGCCAATTTTTTTTGGATTATAGCTAGCTCATCAGTAGGTACGTAAAACAAATCATGTAGGTAATGTAATTTGGGAGCACATTTTGAACTATTCCCAACAGTTTAAAGGTAGGTACTAAGCTTAGATATTCTTCATAACATTTTTTTTCGTTCTCAAATGTACCGTCTAAACAATATACCGCTATGCGCATACATCGACACAGAATTAAATCGTCATTAGGCCATTGCAGTTTGCGATTATAGTTCCCCTTTGGACTTGTCCTAATTTAGGTGAAACTCATATGAGATAAGATATGTAATACGTAGCGTTATTTGTCTTTCAGCTTTCACAATAAATAATAATGGCGATGCCCATGAGATCAGTGCAGCCGATTTTAAAAAAGTTTCCAGTTACGAACACTGTTAGACAGTTGTCTCACTATCCCGTAGATGATATAATATCTGGATTAGATGAAGATCAGATTCAAGTAAGTAGTTATAGTTTTCTGGACAAAGTATCAGCCGTACTAGTAGCTCAGGAAAACGATTTTTGACTTGGCGCAAAAAGAGTTGGCACAAAATGCGTATAAAATTGATAAGGAAAATCGTTTCGATGGCATGAAAGACTTTTGGAAAAAAGCGGGCGACATTGGCGCGTTAGGTGAGATAAACCAATGTGTTCTTGGATAATTTTCCTTTTTAGGTATAACGGCGGATCCCAAGTATGGTGGAACCGGTGGCGGTTATCTTGATCATGTCGTTCTCGCGGAAGAATTATCTCGAGCAAGTGGCGCTGTTGGTGGATCATACATAGCCCACTCAAATTTGTGCGTCAATCAAATAAACCGACACGGCACAGAAAAGCAAAAACAAAAGTATTTGCCCAAATTGTGCTCCGGTGAACACATTGGTGCTTTAGCAATGTCGGAAACGGGATCAGGCTCAGATGTAGTTTCAATGAAACTGCGAGCCGACAAAGACGGAGACCATTACGTTCTTAATGGTACTAAATTTTGGATTACAAACGCTTTAGATGCAGACGTTGTGGTTGTACGTTCTTCCAGTAAATTTAGATTAGCCGCCTTCAAAGAGTGGCATTTTAGGTTTACGCCAAAACTGACCTTAAGACTGAACAGCCAAAGCATGGAATATCTGCGTTTATAATCGAGAAAACATTTAAAGGGTTTTCGGCGGGACCAAAATTGGATAAATTGGGAATGAGAGGATCAAATACTTCCGAATTGATTTTCGACAATTGCCGGGTGCCTAAGGAAAATTTGTTGGGGCCCGAAAATAAAGGCGTTTACGTATTGATGAGTGGTTTAGATTATGAAAGAGTAATTTTATGCGGTGGACCATTAGGATTAATGCAAGCATGTTGTGATGTGGCGTTCCAATATGCCCACGAAAGAAAACAATTTAATACCAAAACTGCAGAATTTCAAATGATACAAGTAAAAATAACACCTTTTTCAAGACCTTCTACCTTGTCTAATTAACTAATTACACATTTTAGAGCAAATTGGCTAATATGTATGCAACAACAGCAGCTTGCAGAAGTTTCGTTTATAATGTTGCTAAAGCTTGTGATAGAAATCATGTCCGTAGGAAAGATTGCGCTGGAGCTTTGTATTATTCTGCAGAACGAGCCATCCAGTTAGCTTTAGATGCCATTCAAATTTTGGGTAAGACTATAGTTTGCACAAGGTAGGTAACCCCACATATAGTGCCCATGTTATTCTGTAGGTGGAAACGGATGTATCAATGATTACCCCGCTGGTCGAATATTGAGGGATGCAAAATTGTATGAAATTGGAGGTGGAACGACAGAAATACGAAAACTAGTAATTGCAAGGGAATTACACAGAGAGTATTCTTGATGACATGATAAATGCAAAAGGGAATAAATTTTAGTCGGCTTTACTGATTTATAACATGAAAGACTTTATTTTATCTAAGTAAATGTGTGGATATTATTTATTATTATCACTGCATTCAATGACGTGTGTTCCTTCAAATCAGGAGTTACTTATATTTTTGTTATCTTGTTACTAATCATGACACCGTACGTTACTAATTAAAGTTAAACTTCTTTGTGTTTGTCAATTTTCAAAATTTCAGTCAAAGGTAACTAAAAAAAAAAAGCCTCTCAGTAATAGTAGGCCGTTAAAAACTATAAACAATTGAAATTATAAAAAATTTACTCCAAATAAAAAACTCCAAATCCATAAAAATCAAAATAAAAAGTTTCCCCATCAGAAGAACTCCAGTGGTATAAGGTCTGTAGAGCGCGCTGGTCAATTTATGGGACCTCGTCGACCTATCTACCGCCCATGAAATTGTTGATTCAGCCAATGTTTATAGCAAAATGAGGTAGGGCACCATTCTGCTAAAACCACATTTCTGTTACCATGTGCACCATAACATTTTGGAGAAGAGCAAAAGAAATTCGTAGTAAAGAGCATCGTTTAAAAAATGTTATTTGAATTCCATTTTTCTAACAAATGAACTTAACTAATCAACAATCAACAACAGAATTGAACGGTTCAATTGTTGAAGGTGCTAACTAACAAAATATGAATTTTGAGAAAATCCAGTTTGAAGTTTGCCTGCAACATTTCCCTTTATCTTAACAAATTATTTAGTACACGACTTCATGATAGTATTATCATAATAAACATGCCATTTCCGAAATGCCATACTTATGTTACCTACTCCAAGTTTTAAAAAAAGTCAGTTACCTACTTTTTTTCAGGAAATAAGGCTGATTTGAAATTTTGACATTACCAGTCGATAGGTCTCGTCCTGACGTCCCACTTGCTCTTTATGAGTACCTTCTTCCGACACTTAGTTTTCAAGATATTCGTTTCACCAATAAATATACCTACGTCTCGTCCAAACAATTCATCTTGCCTTTGTGACGTACTCCGACAAACGGTGTTCGAGATATTGTCTCTTAAAGTTTTGACCACCAACGCAATGCAATACAATCCTGAAAAGGTATTTCCCAATAAAAAATTAATCACTTTTGATATACCACGTGTCTGTACATCATTGGCCATCTAGAAAAACTCTTCTGCTGTATTAGGAAGTTGTAGAGGTGTCAAAAGCGGATCATAATGGAAAGTTCAGTTAAAGCGGGACTGTGGTGCTAAGGGTTCCTGGTTCGAATCCGGGTTCGGGCATGGGTATTTGTAAATCTATAGTGGATAGAGCAGCCTTGGCTAAAACCCCGCCCACTCAAAAATAAAGGCAAAAAAAAATGAAAAACTGCCATTTGACACAGCTAGTAATAACGCTTAAGCTATTGCGGCAGAATTTTTGCATCAAGAAAATGACAGCGAATCTTGTCTAATACCTGCGGATCTTTGTTCTACAATCAATCCAATGAAAATAAATACATTTTTATTTAAGGCTGATAGATATCTTATACAACACTCCTTGTTTTTAAAGTATAATATAATTACATGGGATAGTTTTTAGAAAATTACTTACAGTCTAATAACAAGCGGCACTGACCATGCCCAGAGTTTTGACTAGATTTCACTCGTACCTTTTTGTATGTATAATAATATTTCATAAATAAAAATAAACTCTCAAAAATAAAACATCGATAATGTTAATGAAAAAAATACAATTTTATGTTAATATTAAGCGAATGATTATATAACTAAGCAAAACAACAACTTAGATATAAGAAATTGCATCATTTGCTCTACGTGTTTGCAAGGGTGTTTTTTTTGCATTTACAAAATTCAAAAATGTGTTGTTAGACGAATTTCTAAATTGTTTCTTAAAACAAAAATGTTAACATCACATTTTCGGCTAAATGGGTTTAGTAATCCGTTTCGGGCAGGACGCTCCACATTAGTCTTTTGAACGAGTGGCTCTGTTGGATGTCGTCGTCATCGGGACTTGCCAATGAGTTCGTATTGTTCTGGTAAGGTTGATGGTGCGTAGCGTTATGGTGTTTCTTCAAAGTGCGGGAAGCGTAAGGAAACGGAATTAGATTAAAAATTGTGGGTTTTTACCTTGCCCGGTATTGGAGTATAAATTCTGGTTTGTGGAGGGACTGGCACTTCGTGTACGCGATCGGAGTAGCTTTGCTCTTGGAGCGCTTTGTAGGTTTCGCTTTTCGATGGATCGTATTTCACGTTACGGCGAGAACTGCAAGAAGATGTGAGGTTTTTGGTAAAACGGATGCTTATTTACTTACACGTTAGCGCCGGTTTGTCTTTGAAGGGTGTCTGCTATGTTCGGATCACTGTAGAGACCAATCGGAGAATTAAATTGCTTGTGAACCACCTAAGGGAAGAGAAAAGCGTTGGTTAAGCAGTTGGGGTGGTCGAAAGTGGCAAATCAACTCATTTCATTTCACTAGATTTTTGAGATCATTTGTTTCAGTTGCCATTTCCGAGGTAAAGTCAAAAATGGTGCAGAGTGGCCCAGATCGATTAGGATTGCAGCAGTAATAAAAATTCAATATCGATTATCTTTTTTTTTTATATATAAAATTTTTCTGTACGTGTGTTTGTACCTGAGCTCCTCCGGCTGGACGGATTTTGCTGACATTTTTTATGTGTCTCTGTGTGTTTCCAGATGGTTTAGAACAATTGGATTCGTTCGCAATATAAGATTGTTTAAAAACTTTCTTTTTTCGTTGATATCGCACTCTATTATTTCGTGTATCGATCCATACATGCGCCAAGTCACTTGCGTCGTACTGTTCCGATGTGTTTACATTTACATTTTGTACTCTGGGCTGCTGTTATCATATATCAGGCAATAGCGAGTGTAGGGAGTCGCGGGGGAAAATCTAGTCAATTATAAAAAAAATTATCGTTATACCGATATTATCGGTCGATATTGTCAATATCGATTATCAATATTGACGCTTATCGATATTGTCAATTATCGATTTTCTATGTTATCGATAAATGGATAATTTTTCGTATTATGAAAATGGCCACCTGTGGCAGAAAGAATAATACATCACGATTAGGGGGAAAAATGATCGATCTATCGATGTCTACCGATAATGTGGATAGACTTCAATTATCAATAATTATCGATATATGGATGATTGCTTTTCCGCTTAAAGATGGAAAGATAATTTATAAATAGAAGAAGGCGAAGAGCAGAGCAATTAATTAGAAAATTAAACCTACTAAATAATTTAATAGTTGATTTTACTGATATTCCTTCTTCACTCGTGTGTAACCCCATATCGTCAAAAAAACTTCTTGGTCATGCAAAACGCTAATACCACGTCTATTTAAATAAAAGAAAGTTGCTATTGATTATCAATAGTCTTGAATTTCAATTTCATACCATTTTCAAGTATAGATGTTAGAATGTTGGAATTTTAATTTTCATCTTTAATAATCGGTGCAATTCTAACTGAATCTGGGACACCCTGTACTGATTATACTGCAGAAATATGCATTAAACATCAGGCACAACAGGATCGCTGTCACAAAATTTCGATTCCACACGAATGATTCCCAAATGAATTTGCATCATTGGGGTTCGTTGAGTCAACTTTGAAGTAATCCTATCATATGAAAATCCTGTCGTATGAAAATAAGTAGTGATTTGCCACTTTTTAAACCTGATAGTTAAGTTCAAACCTCCAAACGTTGCAAAACAAAGTTCTTGTAACTAATTTAGTATGAAAGCTGTACTAATCTGAAACAGTTAATTAGATTAACACATTAATTAAAACACATTAATTCAAAATGCTAAGAGGCCTTGTCACAACGATGCTGTAATGAGTAAAAATTTTTTGTGATTTTTTTCCTTTGATGTTTGCGGAAGAAATATTTGTAAGTTTAAAAGGAGTCAAGGTATCAAGAACATTCCACCAAATAAATAGTGGTCATAGTGAGTTCAAGTTTCCATCATGAAGTAGGTGTTAAAAAAATGACTATAGAGAGGGGATTAGTTTTGCACAAAATTAGGCATTCTCGCTTTGGCAATGGAGCTAGATAGAGAGTGGAAGATTAGATTTTTTTGGCCGACCTGGTCAAAGAAAGGTCCAGAGCGTTCGGATAACCGAGCTTAGGAAAGACAGTTTTAAGTATGTAGATTCAAAGCGATCTTGTAGTCCATTTTAGCCAGTTGGTTTTTTTGGAAAATGACCATTTGCCCAAGTGGAAAAAATTACGTGAGAGGAAGCCCAAGTGTCATTCTGGAGCGTTATAGAAAAGTGAATTGTAGTTCCGTAATACTCAGCGTAAATTGCGTGCACAAGTTGTGTTTGATCGTTATTAAAAAAAGGACCAGCTCTATTTAATAAAAAAGAACTTTAATTTAAAGAAGATGAATGGAATGCATAAATACTACATTTCGCAAGAAGATATGGAAAAAATGGATAATCAAGACAAGGAGCAACGAAAAGAATATCGCTATAATTTATAAGCCATTTTAACTAAAAACGGAGCAGAAGTTAAAACAAAATTTTCCATTCCTATGAAAGAAATGAAGTAAAAAAATGTTATAAAGAAGTGAGAACTAAAAGAAAAGGATATTGGGGATCAGACAAACATTATAATGCACAAATAAAGGAAAGATGAAATGAATAATTTCAAGAAGCTTTAAACGAAGAGGAGGATGCTATAATGACGACTGACGAGGAACACGAAAAGCCTTTAAGCGACATCGAAGAACAGAGAACATGAAAAATTACAAAAGTGCTGACAAAATGGTATAATGAATAATATAGTTGGAATCATGTCCATCCCTAATGCTTACATAAACATTTTTTAAAAATTATTTGCGAGCATTTCTTCCGGAACCATAGTTTTCAGTTCCAGTAGCTTCGGTGATCGATGTTAATGTCTATTAGTACTTTAACAAATGAAAAAGAAGCACAATCTTTGATTCACACAATCTTTGTTAACGTGTTAAATGCGTTATAAAGAGATCCTCAAACAAAAAAACATTAACCTGCTTTGAAGGATCATCGGTAGAAATTCTTTGTAGTACAGAATCGGCAACCTAATGTAGGTAAATCATAGAGATGAGAGAGATTCGCGCAATTATTATGTACTGAATAAAAAGCGGAAGCGAAAGTGAAGAACATAAACTAAAGTAACAAAAGCAAATAATCAGAGCATCATTACACCCAGTATATGGATAAGCTAGCCCAAGCTCAATTGTTCTACGCGCAAGTGAACAAGATAAACTAAGGCAGTAAAAGCAAATAATTAAACTGAAGTTGCAAATACCTTTTGTTTATAATAATAGTCTGCGTCTAGGTGGTGAGGACGTGCTCTGACGTTTGGGTTTGGATGATGACGAAGGTAACACTCAGTGATGGTTTGATCAGGTTTCACTTTTGCCCCCGGTAGTACTAGGGGGGTTGTACGATATGGCTACCACAACAGATAATAAGACAATGAGTACTAGTTCACACATAAGAGCATGAATTACATTACTAAGGGGATGAAACAAGTCTTCGCCTGGTTCAAAGTATTTTGCATATATTCAGTTGAAATTTAACACAAAGTGGGTCTCTCTGATCCCTGCTAGCATAATTTAGTCTTGTGTCTTCTATACGGTTTCTGGTTGAAACAAGATCTTCTTTTCCCAGGGCGTCAGAGAAAATACATCAGTTTCACGTAGTTACAATTTAAATCATCGTTGGTCATGAGTCCGGAAAAATTAACTATGGCTTAATGTTTGGTATGTGGATTGCTTATCTCAACAAGATCACTTTTCAAAAACGTTTCAGTTGCGTGGGATGATCGAAATAGTACAGGCTTCCGCAATGTAATTCTAAAATTGAGATCGTTGCTCTTTACTCCCACTGAGAAAAAATAACGGATGGAACTCTTTCATTTTGCCAATGAACTTGAGAACTCTTCCATTTGGAATACGTGATTGAAAATGACGTAGCTTAACCTTAGTGTTGAGCCAAATCTATCGGTTTCATAACGAACGAACTAGGCCCCTTTTGACGCAATTATCAATTTGGACAGCTACCAAGCCTACATACCCACTGGCCTTCTAAATCGCCAGGAAGCATTAAAGGATTTCATTTCGAAATATGCATGACTCCTTTATTACGTTTTTAATTGAAAACGCCTAATTTTAGATGGAACTTCGTCGGAGCGCGCCAAGTGCCGATAAGGTCAACTCGCACAAAATCTACCACATGAAACAATTGCTTTATTTAAAAAGCAAATTTGGCAAAAAAAAGTGTTTCATTTTCAGAATGAATTATAATGGCCGATCTTATTCAAGAAAGTGAAATGCTAAATGATTTGGTGATAAATTGGCAAGTGTCTATTTCGCAACGTCTATTCTTAGCGCTCTAAAATGGGCTGTCTAAGGTTTTTGCGCAATTTAAAATTGCACTGCTCGAATTTAAAGCTAATTCAAAGATGGACTAAGAAAGTTAATCGTCCCTGAAATATCTTAAAGGTGTGAAGGTTAGGTGTCTAAAAATACCTTTTAATTTGAACGAAGTGGAAGATTTTATTCTAAAATTATGTCATCCCGTTCCGCTTGTCCAGATTTTGGCAAGAATGAAAAATGAACACTGTTTTAAAAATGGAATGATTGTGTAGCACCTCTTACCCACATAATAGCTCCTTCATTTTCTGGATGAAAAGAGTTTGAATGTATTCTTGTGAGGATCATGGTTGGAAAAATCACTACACTTTACCAATACCTAAGATTAACTGATGGAATAACTGAAAATATGCCCCACCCGTGACGTCGGTACTAAATATTATATTTTTAATACATTTTCGCCACTTTCCATAGCTTAGGCGAGTATTCGATTTTACAAATTCAAAATTGATTGCAAGCAACATGTGTTTTCTAGAAATTTATTTATAACGCGGAATATTTAGAAAAAGACGAAACAGTTGTCCCCAAATCTTGATTTACAGACAAAAGTTCAATTACAGTGTCACCCACAAATTCGCTATAAAGATTTGGGACCAGTTTTCACACCCTTTGAAATAATAAGGTAACTTTACTGGATAACATGGTATTTATCCTGTAACAAAATCCCATCTGTTAACTAGGTCATGATAAAATATTAATCAAAAGTCGTAGGCGTAGACTTTCGGAGCAAATTTAGTTGTTTTTGACATTGACAAATATTTATGTAAGTAAGATTTTGGCAGAATTTTCTAGCCGACATAAAATTTTCGCTAAAGCAATTTTATTGAGGAAGTATGTTGTTTTTTCATTTTATTTTTTGCGGGTCATTAAGAATTTCTTCAAAATAACTAGGTACCAACAAAAAAACATTGCATAGATTTATCAAATTAGCAATGAAGAAGCAAAAGCGGACCCTTTTTTGTCATAACGCTGTCAAAGCCTTGTGTGCTTTGTTCAAAATTCATTTTTTTAGTATGTTAGTCATTTTTATTGTAACGTATCTTAAGAGGCATGCTCATCATAGATTAGACAACGGTGACAGATTTTAGTGTTATAGCAAAATACGAAGTTGACTGTATGTTGGGGATGTCAGAATCTCTCTAATTTGCCTTTTTATCCTCGCACGGGAGCATAAAGGTGGTTCGTTTAATTTGAATTTGCATCTCAGTGTTGTTTTTCCTTGTTGTAAATTTTATCACTTTTGTAAATTATTCATTTAAATAAGATGTTAGAAGTAGGACACATCTGGTCTTTGCGATAAGAAGTTTTATATCAGGTAAAACTTCATTAACGCACTTGTTCTGGTGCTGATTAGGAGATGTAGATTTTACGAAGAATTTCGCATTTCATTTGGAGATTTATTTGAACATTTTTAAAGAAGGAGTTTCTACTATATGGTGGAAGTGGTTTTTCCTTAAATACTGCAATCAACGTAAAAACGAGGCTACTGTCGGCTGCTGCTGCTAGTTTTCACGACGGTAAAAGAGTGTGTACATGTTTTTATGCTAAATTACGGGCAGTCAGCCCGATTTGTATTATTGAAGGCGCGGTTCGTCATTTTTTAAATAAATAATAAATCTGTGAAGCAAGTTAACTAAAGTTGGGTTGAAAGTTTAATGTGAGTTGTCCGATTTCGGGAAAATTTTTATCCAATTGAAATAGAAAGCATTGTAGTCAGAGAGGCCTTTTATTAAGGTTCTCTTCTTGTTAAAAGTTAACGTTCCTACCGCCACAATTTTGAAAATATTCTACATCGATTCGACCTTTAGAGTAATTCCTAAGGACAAATTTTCAAAAACCTAGTTCATTCACTTTCTCAGAAAAGTTTAACTAAAGCTCCCAAAAAAAAGACCGCGTTTTTATCTATTCTAATTTTTTAAGACCAATTTCTGTGGATCTTCGTTTAAATTAACAGACCGTCAAAAATAAACAAACAAACAATGAGAGCCACCACGCGTTCCGCATCGGTTTTCTCCTCGATAATAATAATAATAATAATAATAAACTTTATTTCCTCGTTTTCTTATAACACATCCAATTACAACACGAAAAAAAAGGAAAAAGGATTGCATTCAGTGCTTATAAGCTCTGTTCTTCCATGCAGCCCGGACAATAACAGATATATAAAACTAAATTTCTCATTCTCAGAAGAAAAAAAAACAGTAATTCATTAAAGTTAATCAGGTGGCATGATTACATAACTACAAATTTGTTAAATTTGTTTTCGCAGCCAATCTTTAAGATGATACTTAAATGGAATAACAGATAAGTGCTTGAGGAGTGGTGGAATGGAATTATAAACCTTAACTACATTGTAATTTGTATGAGAATGATCTATTGAAATACGATGTTTTATGGTCAGGAATTGTTAATAGGCCTCTGTGTCTAAGGTTTAAATTATGAAGACTGCTTCGATAACGTAACCGTTCAGCTAAATATGGCGGTATTTGGGTAAATGAAGAAAAATTGTTATTACTATGGTAAAATAATACGTAATTTGTTAGGTAAGTGTCATCGTTGTTCATAAGAGTGATAGGTACCTATTGTTAAAATTGGATTCTTTTGAATGAGAAACGCTTGAACATCGCCAATGAAATCTGATTTTAGCAAAATTACTTGCATCGTTTGGATCAGAATAGACATTATAGCGTGGTCAAAGTACACATATATAGCTTCACAAAAAATAAAAACCTCTTGAAATTTCAAATTTGAGTATTCAAAAGGGTTGTGCTTAATATGAAAAATTCTTTACGAAGATACGTATGCAATTTTCCGGAAATTGTCGAGTGAAAAATTTTGTTTTTGTTTTTTCACTCTAATTGTTTAAATATTAAATATACGGAAAAAAGTTTCAATTAAAATTTGTAGCTGATGCATTTATCTACAAAATGTGTCTGAAAAGTTCCCTACCACAGTTCAGAACCACTCAATCCTAGTGACTTTTCTAGGGATTTTCATCTAGTGGGATTTAGAAGCGGGCATATATTACTACTTTTAAGGTATCCCACGCTTTGCATTTTTTGTTTATTAAGCAACAGAGCAAATCCATGCAAGATTTATAAGGTTTATTGGTGTCCGTCTGTCCGTTTGCCTATGATCACGATAACTGGCAAACGCTTGGATCGATTCCGTGTAGCTCTGCTGCTATTTTGGACCCCCTTGTCCCTTTAATTTTTTAGTTCATACAAAAGTTAACTTTATTGATTCCATAGGACCAAATCTATTCAAAGGTTGCTTCACACACAATCTCTCTTTAATTTAATTTGGTATATTTCAAAAACTAATGAAGATATCAGAAAACTTTTCAGACAAATTTTGTAGGTAAATGCATTGGATATAATTTTTGATTTGAACATTTTTCTGTATTTTCATTATTTAAACCTAGATTTAAACAATTAGAGTGAAAAAACAAATAACAACATTTTCGACCAAAGTTCTTCCGGAAAATTGCTTACCTAAATTGGTAAAGATTTTCTCATATTAAGCACAATCCTTTTAACTACCTAAGTTTGAATTTCCAAAAGGTTTTTACTTTTTGCTGCATTTTACGGATATTTTGTGTACTTTGACCAGGCTACCTTTGCTGTTGATATATTACGAATTTAAAAAAATGCTCTCACATTGCAGTCTCTTTCTGAGGGATTGTAACTGTAGTGGTGCATTAAATATTTTTGTTTCGGTGATTGATTATGCTTGAGGGGTTCGTAAGAAATCTTTCACCAAGAACATCCTTCGGTGTTACCAAATTACGGATTTTTTTAAGAAATTTCATTTTCACATGGAAGTCTCTTTCTGAGGGGATTGTAACTTTAGTGGTGCATTAAATATTTTTGTTTCTCTGATTGATTGTGCTTAAGGGGTTCACAAGAAACATTTTACAAACAAAGCTCTTCCCTGTTACTAAATTATGAATTTTGCAAGAAAATTCTCCCTCACATAGCAGTTACGAATTGTTTGAACTTTAGTGGTGCATTAAATATTTCACTTTCTGTGATTTATTTTACTTGAAAGATCTGATAAGACACCAATTACACACAAACCCCGAGACAAAACCCAAGTGGCGGACTAAATACCGCTACTGCCCGAAACGGCCCATCAAAATTGCGCCCTCATACAACCCCCCACCACTTCCTTCTATTCGCCACCAGATTAACAGCTTAGTACGCATAATGAAAACAGATATGTACAGGGTTTCTTTTCGATTTTTTAGATCGAGTTACTTTTCAAAGCTGCATAGATCGACGATGTCATTTTTGACGTTTGAGTTGCGCGAACGTGGCAACAGCGCAAAAGTTCAAAAATGCAATAATAGTACATTACCTATATATCAAGGTAGAGAAGTACAGTATTATTGCCTGAGCACCAAGATTACATCTCGAGGGGCTTGCGCCGAGGGGTGTAAGGTGCGAAGGCAATAATAGACTTCTCTACCGTGGTATATATACTATTTTTTCACTACTAGCACTTGAAATCCTCTAAATTAACATATTATATTGATAAGAAAGTGAACGGTTGGACGGAATTTTTTGTTTATTAATTTAACATGTCAATCAAGTACGTGGAAGTACAAGTCAAACAGGCCGTATTTTGTTCTGTCATTGAGATATTTTTAAAGAGTAATTTCGTTCGAATTTTTTCAAAATGTGATAATTTTAGGTATGTAATTTCTCTGGAAATGGCGGTTGCTGGCAATTATTCATTTTAGAGAACTTGTCTAAACGTTTATTGAGCGAAATTTCGGGTTGTGTTTTCTAAAAGTGACAGTTCTCATTATTGACTACTAGTTAATAATGTCCACATTATTAACCACTTTGAATAATTGCCGAGAAAGCCTACTTTACAAGTGGAAAAAAGGTTAATAATCGTGTCATCAGACGCTAGTAGTAAAAAAACAGTTTTAGCGTCATGTTCTTAAGCGAGACGCTTATGCTTTCTCCCAGTCGTCAGGACGCTCGCTCGCTCGATGGCTTCATGCCCATCGATTTAAAAGACAACGGACTGATTACGATTAAATGTTGCAGGTGGATTCTTCATCAAATTTGTAGATAGGAATTCGTGAATTGGCAATGTAGGCCCAAAAATAAGAAACGCCCTCCGTTAGTTATGAACCGAATAGAATGAAATTCACTTTTGATTATGTGTCGTCAGGGATTAACTCGTGCATGTTCTAGTGCTGGCATATTCAAATGATGTATTGGTCCAAGAACAAGTCCATCCAGGGTGCGGGCCTCGCTCGACGCTAACCAATATTCCGTCCCGCCTTTACGACGCCACTGCAAACCCCTCGGCTGTTACCAAATTCCCTCTCACTTAGCAGTCTCTTTCTGAGGGGG